TCAGCTGAAATAGCTGGTTTTGTGGGGGGTGGGGAGTGGAGGGGTTTGTTACTGTGGCAGAGGAAATGTGATCATGTGTGAGTTACAAAGATAGTTTTTCAGCTATCTTTGTTTTGGTGTTTGTGTTTGAATAAATTAGGCTACTAGATTGAAGAGGACATGAAGAAACTTATTTTGATTATGGCAGTGGTTTCATGAGTACGTAATGGCAAAGCTGATAAAATTTCACTTTAATAATACTTCAAGGGTTAAACAAACCTAGGTAATTAGCTATTATTATTATTTTTTAAAAGTATTTTAAAATATATATTTTAATTTTTTATTATTATTTTTATTTATTTATTTATTTTTACAGAGAGGGAAGGGGAGGGATAGAGAGTTAGAAACATCAACGAGAGAGAAACATCATCGATCAGCTGCCTCCTACACACTCCCTACTGGGTATGTGCCCGCAACCAAGGTACATGCCCTTGACCGGAATTGAACCTGGGACCCTTCAGTCCTCCAGCTGACACTCTATCCACTGAGGCAAACCGGTTAGGGCAAGCTAGTATTATTGATCTTAGTTATTTTTAAGTTTTATTGAGCTATAATTCACACATTGCACTATTCCCCCATTTAGAGTGCACAGTTCTGTGGTTTTTAGTATGATCACAGGTATGTGCAAGCATCACCACAGTCAATTTTAGAGCGTTTTCATCACCTCACAAGAACCCTTTAGCTGCCGCCCTACCCTCGCTCCAACCAGATGCAGCCACTAACCAATTTACCTCTGTTTCTGCAGAGCTCCCTCTTCTGGACATTTCCTATGAATGGAACCCTTAAGATGTGGTCTTTTGGCATTGGCTTCATTCACTTACTGTTTTCAGGGTCCATCTATGTTGTAGCATGTATCAGCACTTCATCCCTTTTTATGGCCAAATATTCCGTTGTGTGGCTGTACCACATTGTGTTTGCCCTTCAGGTGGTGGCACTTAGATTGCTTCCACTGTAGCTGTTAGGAATGACCTAAGTCTTGACAACTATGTTAAGGAAAGAGACAATCTTTGTGTTTAAGCATGTGCTTCTTTCTTGCTTTTTCCACATTTGGATGGACTTTTTAATTTTTTTAAAGTGCTGAACATTTGAGATTTTCAAGTTGTAAATATATAAAAAGGGGGATTCCGCCAAGACATTCATTCCCTCCCAGTTGGAGTTAGACTTACATAAGCACAGAGAAATGTTTTCTGTGGGCTTGAGGAAAACAAGTTCATTTAGGAATGAGGGTTCTGGTTTGTTAAGAGATTGTGGAAATGTTGGAAATGTGCCGTGGCAGTATTTCGGGTTTTGTTTGTTTTTACCATTAAAACAAGCCTGTTTAAAAGAAACATTTGTGGTTGAGATGGATGGGAGAAGAGACAAGACATTCTAGGAACTGAGAGGAGGCAGGAACCTAGGGATGGCGGTGGCGGTTTATGAGACAGATGCAGGAGCACGTGTCTTTCCTTCCCGTAATGCAGGCTCCATCCACAGGGCAGACTGGGGAGGAGCTGTGTTTACACGGGAGCTCAGTGGGTGGAGTGGCAGGGTGCAGTGTGGTGGTCCTGATCTGCAGAGCTCTCAGATGAGTGCCTTCCCAACCGTCAGAGGGAAACGGGCTGCTTAGCATTGCTCAGGCCCTGGGGGGATTTGTGATTCTGATTGGGTTATTGGCAGTCTTTCCCCATCTCTCAGTTGTGATGACCCCCAAAACTTACAAAGACCCATTAAAATTCATCTCGGGTGTCTGGGTAAACACCCCCCTAGGTTGTCTGGTTAACTTGTCCCCAACCAAGATTGATGATGGGCCTATTTTTCCTTTAAGAATTATAGTGTGTGGCCGGGACCGGTTTGGCTCAATGGATAGAGCGTCGGCTTGGGGACTGAGGGGTTCCGGGTTCGATTCCGGTCAAGAGCATGTACCTTGGTTGCGGGCAAATCCCCAGTAGGGGGTGTGCAAGAGGCAGCTGATCGATGACTCTCTCTCATCGATGTTTCTAACTCTCTATCTCTCTCCCTTCCTCTCTGTACAAAATCAATAAAATATATTAAAAAAAAAGAATTATAGTGTGTGGTTTGTGTGTGTGTGTGTTTGTGTGTGTGTGTGTTTTGTGTGTTTTATATTTATTATTAGTGCAAGGCTTATTGAAGTATAATTTACGCACAGTAAATTCGCCATTTTTAGAGGATAGAATTGTAATTTCTAACACCTCCCTCCCCCCGGCCCCCACAGAGATTTTACACACAGGATAGTTCTGATAATCGGTAACATTTATTATTATCTACAAATAGAATGTTTAACTCTACAAGCAATTTTATTTTCAACATATTAAACTTTGTACAATAGATGCAGTGAAAATTTTATGTATATTTCCTCAATTTTTTAAGTTAAAAGTTTTCTTGTATCATTTATTTATCTTCCTGTATGTGTGTATATATCTATATTAATATGCTAATGAGACATCTTTCATCTGTCCAATTTCCTAATAATTAAAGCATTCCTGCTGCTTTATTATTAAAATGGAATGAATTTAAATACCTCTTTATAATTCTATTAATATGCATGTAAAATATTTTAAAAAAATATTTTATTGATTTTACATAGAGAAGAATTGAGAGTGATAGAGAGTTAGAAACGTTAATGAGAGAGAAACATCGACCAGCTGCCTCTTGCACACCTCCCACTGGGGATGTGCCCACAACCAAGGTACATGCCCTTGCCCAGAATCAAACCCGGAACCTTTCAGTCCTCAGGCCGACGCTCTATCCACTGAGCCAAACCGGTCTCGGCCATATAAAACATTTAAAAAAAAAATACATTTTATTGTTTTTGTTCAGAGAGGAAAGGAGAGAGATAGAGAGTTAGAAACATCGATGAGAGAGAGTCATCAATCAGCTGCCTCTTACACACCCCCCAATAGGGATATGTCCGTAACCAATGTACATGCCCTTGATCGGAATCGAACCCCGGTCCCTTCAGTCCCCAAGCTGACGCTCTATCCATTGAGCCAAACCGGTTTCAGCAATATAAAACATTTTTGGCATTGAAACATTTTTGTCTTAAAAATACAGCTGATCGATGACTCTCTCACTCATTGATGTTTCTAACTATCTCTCTCCCTTCCTCTCTGTACAAAATCAATAAAATATTTTTTTTTTTAAAAGAGTTTAAAAAAAATAAACGTAGGTTGCTCTTTTTAGATTTTAAGGTGTTACATGTTGCATATTATGCCTCTTTGGGTGGCATTGTAAGAAGTTTTCTACATTTCCCGCTTTTATAAACGATGTCTGTGATCAGCATGACATGCGTGTCAGATTCACCTCTGCAGCAGGCGAACACTGTTGGCGAGTGCCGTTCCTAGTAAGCCTCCGAGAACTTCCTCTGAGAAGCCCTTCCTTCACTCAGGAGCCTCGGGGATGTCTTCCCGTGTCTGTGCATTCTCGTGTCAGGGACAATGTAGTGAACGGAAACCCTGTTCATGTGACCGTGCATCCTGGTGGCCGAGACTGACCATGAGAGAGATGTGGTCAGCTAAGGGATCTGAATTAGAGATGAAGCGTTCTGATTTAATAGCAGCTGTAGTTAGAGACAGAGATCAGTGTGTGCTATTAATAGGCCCACTCAAAGGAAATTCACGTCAAAACATCACTATGAAAAAAACATCACTATGAAGAAACGACTCCCCATTCACAAATAGGTATTAGCCTTATTTAAAATGGGGAAACATAGCCCTGGCTGGTTTGGCTCAGTGGATAGAGCATCGGCCTGCGGACTGAAGGGTCCCGGGTTTGATTCCTGTTAAGGGCACAAGCCTTGGTTGTGGGCTTGATCCCCATTGGGGGACGTGCAGGAGGCAGCCATTCGGTGATTCTCATCGATTCTGTCTGTCTCCCCCTCTCCCTTCCTCTCTGAAATCAAGAAAGATATATTTAAAAAAAATAATAATAAAATGAGGAAAAATAAAATAAAAAGTTCATTCCTAGACATACCTGCCTATAGTTTTAAAATCAGAATCAGTAGACAAAAGCCTGAAAGAGACTACACAAGATAAATATTCCTTTAGGAGAAGTTGCTTAAAGTTTAGCAGGGAATTAATTACCTGACCACTCAGTGGGTCTCTTGATGCTTTACTGTGTGCTGGGGCCAGAACATTCTCAGGAGCCGTTCGTCAAAGTTTGCATTAAATTAATGGATAATTGGTTCCCTAGTTTATTTTTCAAAAACCTCTTTTTCTGGTTCTTGGTAGGAGGGTTGGATTTGGTTTATACTGATGAGAGGGGCACCCACAGTCACGGTCTGATACAGTGCAGGCGCTGCTTTCCCGGCCTCCATAGACCAACACGCGCAATGGAATGATGCAGCCGCAGGGAAGTTGTAGGGTGGACAGTTTCCTGTTGTGCTTCCTCCAGCCTCGCATAGATTTAGAAATGTTTGCTGCTTTTTTTTTTTACACCTTTTACTAATTATTGATATACCACTCAGCTTAGTCTCTAGCTCCACATAGAATATCGATTCTGTTCTTTCTTCATTTTGCTGGCCTGCCTTGAGAGTCGTCTGTTCCGATGACCATATTAGCTATAAAAAGAAGTTCTTTGAGAAGGAACATCTTAAAGATGAAACTTGATGTGGGCTCTTGTCTCGTGACTCTGTGTACATGGAGGAAGTGTGATGAGGCGTTTCTGTGTGTGTGTGAAACGGATGCTTCCTGCCGCTCCAGCCTGGGAATCCAGGTGCTGTGGCCGTGAACACTGCGGAGCTGCCTCGCCGCTCTGTTATCCCCAGGAATGAGCCTGCGGTTAGGGATCTTGGGAGACGCAGGAGAGGGGACCCCACAATGGTGCCCTTCCCTCACTATGAGAGACCAGACCCCAGTTAATTTTGGGCGCTCTTTTTCAGCACAGTTCTTTGTGATTTGCAAACATTTCTGCCCTCGTAATACCTTGGGAAACTGAAAATGTGTGATTTTCTCCCCTCCCGCTAGGTGCTGGATAGTTTACTAGGCCAGTATGGAGTGGTGGAGAGCTGTGAGCAAGGTACACGTCTTCTCAATTGCTTTCAGTTTTGTAAAAGGGGGCGTAAAAAGACGACTAACGTGTTTCTTTCTCTTCCTTTTTTTCTCCCCTCAGTGAACACTGACTCGGAAACTGCAGTCGTAAACGTAACCTATTCCAGTAAGGACCAAGCCAGACAGTAAGCAGATTGACACTTTTCATCTCTATGGGTAGTAAGCAGGTTAAGTACGGTACCTATATTTTAGCCTAGTGGATAGCAGAAGTAAACTTCATTTTGCAAAGTTTGACCTTGCAAATCTTTTAATGTTTGACGGTGTAGTAAGAATTTGCATTGGTTAGTTTTATTACCTTTTCAGTATGTCAGAGGTAGGTGGATATGGGATGAAGCTGAACTACACCCTATTTGCAGAAAGCTGTGGACCTGGGTATCATTCCCTTACTGATATGATACATACATTATTGCTGATTTATTCAAAGCTGGTAAGTAGGTCATGTGTAAAGCTATAGTGTTAAATGTGTTCTTCCTGATCTTCCTAATGGTCACTGTTGTCATGTAGGAGTGTGCAGACATTGACCAGTGTAATTTGACTTTAGATTGGTGGGGGAAATGTATTCCGATGCAATGGGGAGGCTAAACTACAGATAAAAACATCTTCCTTAGGAAAAACACTTCTCAGCTTGGGGAATGACCTAAGGAACTGACTACACATTAGAGAGAGGAAATGAGGATCCCACAGATACTGCCTCTGACCTGTCTGCTCCCAGTGCAAGCAGAGGAAGGGCATGCAAGGTGCCCACAGCAGAGAGCGGAGTGGCAGGGCCAGGGGAGTCTTCACCACCTCCACACACAGGGCAGGCAGGGGAAAGAGGAAGAAGACCATCCCATCCGGCCTGAGTCGAATGCAGTGCCCGCTCCTGGACGAGCCAGGGAAGGACAGATGGGGCTGGCGAGGAGATGGAAACTTGCATTGCACAGTGGGACTTCCGTTTTTATGTTGGTTGGTAACACTCACATGGTTCAAAATGTGAAGGTCCAAGCATGTACATGGTACAGATCTCCCCAGTATTGTTACCCAACTTGCTTGAGTGTTTTGTATGTAGAAATCTATTTTTTAAAGTTGCATAGAATTTCATTGTATGAATATAGAATGACTTAGTTCCAAATTGAATGTTTAGCTTACTTAGAGATCTTGCAGTTAGGAGCAAGGCTAGAGTGTAGCGATTTTCAACTTTTTTCTGCTCCTGGCACACAAACTACTAAATGTCTGCTGCCACCAAAAAAAACCCAGATTATATTTGTTGCTGGTCTGACAAGAGAATAGGTGAAGTTTTGACTCACCGGATGGCTGTCGTTTGGCTGTTGTCATTTTTTTATTCGACAGTCTAAGGGAAAAGAGGTCAGAGCTGCCAAGGAAAGAGTCAGGTGCTGCCTATTTAATAAGCTGGCTGCACCCTGGTGTGAAAATGGCTGCTGTAGAGAATCACTTTTTTGTAAATCACTTTGCACGTGTGTGAATATGGGTGTGGGTTAAATTCCTAGAAATAGATCAAGATACTTATTAATTTAAAAAAAATATTGGCAAGTTCTCTTTCATAGAATCTGAACTAGTTTAAATTCCCATCGGTCCCGTGAGTGTGCCGTCTTCTGACTCCCTAACCCAGCTTTACAGGCTTTGCTGACCCTGTGGGGAAAAGCAGTATCTACTCATGTTCAGTATCTACTTTTTTTCCTAAAAAAATGAGGCTTCTGATGTTTATTTTTAATGAGACTTTTAAGACATTTAAAAATAATCTGTTTTTCCTTCTGTTCGTATCTTTCTCTCATTAAAAAAAGTTAACAGTTAACATGAGGTTTTTTGACATCTTAGAAATTGTGGTGTGAGTGTTAAAACTGATTTTTACAAACTCTATTCTTCAACAATAATGTGTTCAGGGAAGAACAGAAAATGTTCACGTTTAATACCCCAAGTAGACGGTCGGAGGTGAGAGTGAGGCAGAGACGCAGACCCCGGTTGTCTCACATGCCCCAGTCTTCACGAAGATCTCCAGTAAACGCTTGCTACAGCCAACTCTGCTAGATGGAAGCTGGGGTAAATGCTAAACCCAAGGGTATTTGGAGATCGTCCTAGTTGTCTTGCTTGAAAACTTAGGTGAGGACAGCCAGCTAATTGGACGCTACTTAACAGTTAGTCGTATGGGAGAACGTTGTTGGTTTTGAACTTGAGCTGGGACATTTAGAGCCCCTGCATTCTAAGCACAGAGACAAGGGCCAACAGGGAGTCAGGGCAGAATCACTGCTGCGAGCAGCCCACCCTGATGGCAGATGGAACGGGGAGGCAGTTTTTACAAGTGTTGTCAGAGGTTGCTGGGTCCTGTTGGTCCGAAGGGGAGAGAAAACGGCTGTTGGGAATCTGTCATTTCAGTAATTAAACACCCTAAACAGATTAAATGAGCATTTCAAAGAGGGACATGTCTTTACATCTCTTATTCTAATAGTCCTTCAATGAATTGCAACTGCATATTGACCAAATGCCAGTGACTAAAGGCAGAGTCCCTGTCCTCGGGGTGGGCCTCCTGCTGGTGGAAGTGGAGATGGATCGCCCACGTTGAGTTTCCTTACAAGAATATGGGTTTTCTCTCTCTCAAAAATTCCAGAGCAAAGAGTTTTAGAAAATAATTCAGAGAAAGTTAATAGATTTAAAGAATGGAAAAGTTAGTCTTGTGAGTCAATGTTCTGAACATTTTCTAGTAAGTTGTGTTTTTTGTTTGTTTGTTTTTTTGTTTTTTTGTTTTTTAAAGAGATGGGGAGTGCATTCTCATCCTGTGAGGAGAATGGGTTTCATTTGCCAGGCATTGGATCTGGCACTCCTTGATGTCCTGGAGAAAGCGTGGCCTCTGACATAACCCTGACTCTCTGAGCTTCAGTGTTCTCAGCCACAAAATGAGAGCAGACAAGAAACCAATGTAGTCATTCATTTAGGCACATATTTACAGAAAGACAGGCTTATCACATGGCCTGGCACATGGGCACCAAGGAAATAGTAGTCATTCTTGCCCAATCCCTGGTTCTGGGCTGCTTTTAGAGCAACTGAGGTGGTCTGAGCTGGGAAGGTGGTCCCTCCAGGATGTGCTTTCGGAGCCCTTGCACAGCAGTCCTCTGGGCTGCACAGCTGTCTGCTGCCCCAACCACGCAGCCGGCTGAGTCCCTTGCCCTGACAAAAAACCAGCAGAAATAAGAGCCCTTCAAAGCTCATCGCTTCAGGTCACGAGAGTGGAGTTGACTTTTCTTTCCTTGTGCCTGATACTTGGGAGACTGTGTAGCTGGGATGTGCTGGTGCAGAGGTGGGAGTCTGTCATTCTGGTCAGGTTAATGTGTCTTAGTTCACACCTGCCTATAAAGTGGGACTAATTACAGTTCTTAGCTCATGAGGCTGTTGAGAGAACCTACATAGAGCTTCCAAAACACCTATCACAATTCCTCGCAGGACTGCAAAGTTAGCAGCTATTAAGCATTTTTCAACATTTCTCATTTCTGCTGATGATGCTTTGTTCTTGCTCAGTATACTTCATTTATACTCCATTCCAGGTAATGACCGGCGCTGATACTCAGTTAGGAAGCTGATACTCAGAGTTAGGAACCGAGTTTGAAGGCTTTGTGGCTGCCTCTTTTTGTTACTTGATTCCTCAATAAGGCTGACTCTAAGAATTTAACATGGAAATTCCTGCCACCTTGTGGCTAGAAAAATCAAAGGTTCAGAGTAATATATTATGAGGAAATACCTATTTGTTTTAACTTGAAGTCTTAGATTATTAAAATAATAAAATGAATAAAAATAATGAAAACAAAAAATCATTAAAAAAAACAGAGAGTGTCCTTAGTATCACTTGTTCCTTGGAGCAAGAAAGGCTTGGCCTTGGGACACCCATTTCCTCCAGGGGTGCTCAGGTAACTGTCCAAGGAAGCCAGCCTCATCAGAAGATTTGTCATGTGTGACAAGGAAATAGTCCTTCCGAATTGGCAGGAATTTAGTTTTTATACTTTCTTTTCTTTCGGGCTCTTATTTTATTTTTTTATTTTTCTTTAAATTTCTTTATTGATTAAGGTATCACATACTTGTCCTCACCGCCCCCCCTCCCCCCCATTCCCATCCCAAACCCCTCTCCATGCATGTCCCCACCCCCTGTCGTCCTTGACCACTGGTGAGGCTCATATGGATGCACACAAGTTCTTCGGTTGATCTCTCCCTCTTATCCCCACCTTCCCTTAGGGGCTCTTATTTCTGATGTTTATTTTCGTTAGGGAATCAGAGTATAGTTTGTTTATATTGTGAAGCTATCATTGAAGATCGATCCTTCTGTATCATTTGAAGACCCACATCTGGTGCACACTGTGATGGTTAGAAGTGTTTTTCAACAACTTGGCTGATGGCTAAGGGGGGGAAATCAACCTTCAGCTGTAAAAATCATGTAACTAGAAGATTTATTCTGGAAAAAGAAACAACAGAAAGCAGTGAGACAAAGAATTTCTTGTCGTTCAGAGATAACCACCAAACTTTGCAGACTTTGTCCCACGTGTCAACTTAAAATTACAAAGATCGTTCTGTAGAGTTTCATTATTTCCATTGACTATATTTATACTGTTTGTAATCTCTATATAGTATTTCACGCCTTCCACAGTCGATGTATCCAGTCCTCTACAGCACAGGTTGTTTGCCAAGATTTTGCTTTTTGAGTGTATGTGTGTGGGCTTTTAGAACCAATGTAATTGATCAAGTCCTTTGGAGGGTAAATCTCCCGGCTTTGGCAATAATTATTTCCTTAAATTGCATCCTTTCAGTAGTTATTACTGAACTAAAATAGGCTGATGCACCACCTCCTTCCCTCCAGCACCCGGGACCTGGGCTCCCTCACAGCCCTGGCTTCTTCTAGGACAACAGCTGGTCTAATTAGCATAGTATACTTTATTATTATAGATTGTGTGCCTCAACCTTTTATTCTTGGTACAAGCAGAAAACTGAATTGTGTGACTTTTCAATAATGGCTAAACCTCATTTTGTTAGAATTAGTGCTATATACAGCAGTGAGGTCTGGGAAGAAGAAAACAAATTCTGAAATTTTTGAATTGAAAAGGATTATAAATCGAATCGCTGCATTTTGTAGGTGAGGAACCTAGTGACAAATAAGAACATGACCTTTCCAAGGTTACATGGCTGCTTATTGTTCTGACTGGACTACAATTCTGATCTCTAGTTGAGCCTCTTTCCACTACGAAGTGTGTGAGAGAACTCAAAGCCCATTGAACAGAATCTGAGCAGCCTTAGGAGAGGGTGGGACCTTTGTTTTTAATTTTGTAGTGTACTTGGGAGTGTGTATTATCAAAGGTGTGTTTATGTGTGCTTTTGGTATCTTGGTGATATCTTCTCTGTCAGTTTTTTATTGCGTTCTCCACTTTAAAAATACTTAGGTGAGGTAAAAAAACAACAGCACGAGTGAATCTTATAAACCTGGCAAATAAAAGAGGCCAGACATGAGAGAGTACATAACGTATATTCTAATATATGCTTATTTACCAAGACTTTTAACACAGAATCAGTCTATGGTCTTCGAAGTCTACGGAGGTACCGGTGGCTATGGTGCGCTGGTTTGTCCTTGCTCTTGAGTTGGGTTGCAGGCTTACCTTCTGAAAACTCATTGGGATGGACACTTTTCCATAGTAACATTCAAAATGAAGAAACAGGCTCCTCTCAAAATAGAGAGGTGGACGGATGGGCGGATAGATGAGGTAGAAAATAGCTTCACCCTGCCTCTCTGCCCGGGCCAGACCATAACTCCAGACAGCCAGGGACTACTGTTTGCTCAGGGCTGGCACATGGTAGGTGCTGAGAATGTGTTGGGTGATTGTCTTGAGTATCAAATCCTACCCATCTCCTGTGAGAGTTTGAGAGAGATCTGTCCTTTGTGGCTTAAGATGTTTAATGTTTGTATTTTGTAAGAAGATGTATATTTCCAACATCTCCCTTCTGATTTGGAAAGACTAGCCTGGACCAGGTCTGCCCACTCCCTCCCCTGGCTGTTGGCGTGCTCCTCCGCTGTTATCTCTTGGGTTAATGGCTTACTGAAGAGTTTCAGTTGCAGCATTTTCTCTAGTAGCTGAGGTATGGGAACAATTCAGTGTCCGTCAATGGAGGAGTGACAAGAAAGCCTGGTGTGTATATCACACTGGCATAGCATTCAGCCATGTGAAAGAATGAAATCCTGGCATATGCAGTAACGTGGATGGGCCTTGAGGATGTTATGTAAGTAAAGTAAGTCAGGAAGAGGTCAGACAGACAAAAAGGTAAGCACACTATGATCTCACATGTAAGTCTAAAAAAAACCAATCACACTCAAAACAAGTTCACAGATTCAAAGAGCAGATTGGTGGATATCGGAGATGAGTGGCCAAATTGGGTGAAGGGAGTCAAAAGGTACTCACTTCCAGTTATAAAACAAGTAAACCTGAGGATGTGACGCTCAGCCTGTTAACGGGAGTTAATATAACTGTATTGCATATTTGTAAGTTCCTGAGAGAGATCTTAAAATTCTCATCACAAGAAAAAAAATTCTGTGGTTAGGTGTGATGACAGTGTTAGCCAGACTTATTGTGATCATTTCACATTATATGTGACTATTGAGTCCTTGTGTGGTGCACCTGACACTAATGTAATGTTGTATGTGAATTACACCTCAGTAAAAATGTTTGACAGATTTTTTTCTATATTTCATTGGTAGAGGACAAGGATGTTCCCTTTGGAAACTTGTCAGGTTTTTCTTTCCCGTGTGTGTGTGTGTGTGTGTGTGTGTGTGTGTGTGTGCGCGCGCGCGCGCAGTTGTACTGGGTTACCTGTTCTCTGGCTTTATTCAGAAGATTTTGAGCTGATGATCCTGAGTGGGGGAGATAGGTATTGCTTTGCCGAAAGGTTTATTACAAAGTTTGATTTCTTTTCCCACCCTTGCTCCTTGTCCCCTTTAGAGCGTTAGACAAGCTGAATGGCTTCCAGCTGGAGAACTTCACGCTGAAAGTGGCCTACATCCCGGACGAGATGGCCTCCCAGCAGAACGCTTCCCAGCAGCCCCGAGGCCGCCGCGGGTTCGGGCAGAGGGGCTCGTCGAGACAGGGCTCTCCGGGATCGGGGTCCAAGCAGAAGCCCTGCGACCTGCCTCTGCGCCTGCTGGTGCCCACCCAGTTCGTTGGAGCCATCATAGGCAAAGAAGGTGCCACCATTCGGAACATCACCAAACAGACCCAGTCTAAGTGAGTATTAGAGTGGGTGGTGGGCAGTAGTGTTTCCCCGAATCGCAGGAACAGAGCGTGTGGTGCTTGGTCTTGAGAACTTGGTCATGGTCCTTCCGGGGCTTGGGACTCTGGCAAAACCTTGCGACTTTGATATCTTAGTGTATATTTTATACAAATACGGGACTAAATTTCAGTCTCAAAGGGAACCTCAAATTTTCACATGTTAATGGAAAGCAAATGATCCCTAATCCACTTGTGATGTGAGAGACCCTGGCAAACAGAAGGGCAGCTTCTATGTTATTCTCTGCTCCCCAGCCCCCGGCGATGCCTGCCTTTTTGTTTTTGGAAGTAATTTTCTGGGTCCAGGATAGAGGTGGTTTTTCAGTCTTGTTTTACTTGAGTAAAGAATCATTCAGCTTGTGGTCCAAATTCATCCCAGGAGTATGCCCTGTGGCCGGCTGGGATGGCTCATTCTTAGCTTCTTGGTTGGGAGTTTCCACTTGCAGATTTGAGTGGACTTGGGATTCTTTTCTTGGCCAAACCCTGAGCTAACTTTTCAGGAGCAGCTAGCAGAGCTATGTGTGGTGATTTACCGCCGTGCTGAGCGGGTGGCCTGATAGGTGAAAGGTTTTCGGATTTGGCAGACAGTGAAATGTGACTCCACTGCATTGTGTTCAGTTGCTTTGCTTTATTAATCAACCTGTGATACTGTATGTGGCTGTTTCGGCCCTAAGAAACCTGTCCCCACCCTGGCTCTGGGCAGTGCTTCTGGGCACACCCTGGGCTGCTGCTGCCCTGTCTCCCCAAGAGCCAAGTGTGTGAGGAAGAGGCAGCTGCACACAGACCTCGCTGGGATCAGTTGCTCCGTGCCAAGCGCCAGAGGAATGGCCTTGGGCCCGGTATGAGATGGCTGTGGACTGTTTTGTTTTTTAAATTTAGTAAGAACATTGATTCCATTTCATGTGGTCCAAGGAATGAAGGAGAGCCTTTTTCTGGAAGTGCAACTGCGGTGCTGCAACTGCAGCTGGCTCCAGCAGGCTTCCGAGGACATCCATCTTCATTGCAGGCACCGGGCCTGCTGCATGGAGCTAGCTGCCGACTGCGCCTGCAGAACCACAAGGAGCTGAGCTTGGTGGCGTGGTGTGGAGCCCACTCCTCCTGCAGAGTGACGGCTGATCCCGCTGCCCTGCTCTGAAGCAGGAGTGTATGGTGTTGGGTACCTTTGTGCAGCATCAGTGGCCTGGACCTCATCATGTATGATATGGGAAGACGGTAGAACCATAACCTGGATCAGTATTTTGTTCGTTTTTAAATCCTATCCTGAGGATACCTTTACATTGAGTTTCTTTAAAAAGAAAGAGAGAGAGAGAAACATTGATGTGAGAGAGACACATCGATTGGTTGCTTCCCACACTTGCCCCATCAAGGGTTGGGGATCAAGCCTGCAACCGAGGTTCAAGCCTTGACGAGAATTGAACCCAGTACCCTTCAGTCCATGTGTTGATGCTCTGTCCACTGAGCCAGACAGGCCAGGGCCTACATCAGTTTTAATGTTCAGTTTGCTTGGTTTTAATCTTAAAATGGAAGGGCTTCTTGCTTCCCTTGAGTCAGCATTACCTGCAGAAACTCATTATGAAAAGGTTTTTCTTCCTTGTCAATGGCAAACGCTGTTTCCTTGTCAGAGGAAAGCTGCTTTAAACTGAGTTGTTTTATTTAAGGCGGGAAGGTGGCGATGAGAGGGGAGGGAAGCAGTTTTTGTAACATCCAGTGGACTCGGTTAATTCTTGCCATAGAAGCTAGTCGTTACGGGGTCCTCTGCTTCTGGAACGGCTCAGAGGGCTACCCTTGTCTCCGAGGATCAGTGTAGTGATCCCTAGCCGGACGTTCCCTGGGACTGTCCCCTCCTGGAAGGTGAGCAGTGCTGGAGGTGACGGCATTTCTGAAATAGTGTCTGGGAAAACGGTGCCTGAGATTGAGACTGCTGTCTACGCGCTGTTTTAATCAGTTACTTGTAGTTAGCTTACTTGTTTCATGCCTACATTGCCCTTATTTTTAGCGATAGGTTTTGCTTCTGAAATATGTCTTCAGTTTTCATCCAACATTTAGGAGAATGAAATCCAAACCTCGGTTTTATTGGCGAGGTGGGGGAATTGCACAGCTTTGTCTTCTAGCATCCGAGTGGCCAGAAGGACTCGCCAATGTCTCCTTTTCGCTGAACTCCGTTTTTTGGATGGTTAATGTTTGTTCTTGTACCTTTTCAACAACAGCAGACTTAATTTTGTATTTAATTCAAAATGAACACATGTGCAAATGAAAAAAAAACAAAAAAGGGTGCCTCTTCATGCCACCCCCTGTGGTAGCCGTTGTTAAGTTGGGGTTGTATCTTTGTAGGATTTGTTCCTTGTATCTACAAGGGTATCTTTAAAGGGGAAGTCTTAGGATATGAATTGTATTTCTTCACAGAAGGTCAAGGACTCTCATAATGTTGGTATTAGTAATTATACCCATATTTTTAAACATCTCTGATAAGGATATACATTTATTATTTACTTGTTTTATATGTTTAATTTACCTGATGCTGAAATTTTTCTTTTTCTTTTTTAGTTATATTTTTTATTGTTGATAGCATTATAGATATCTTCCATCTTCCCCCCTCCATCCTCCTCCTCTCAGCCCCTACCCGCCCCCCCTAGGTCAGATATACTCTTACTTAATCATCTCTCCTGGTGAGCTTTTAAAGATGATCCCAGTGCTCTTTCTGCCACAAATCTGCTGCCGTGAACGCTCCTGTGCTGGTAGTTTGCACCCAGGTGACACGCTCAGCTCGGGGACCTTGGCAGGGGCTGGGGACAGTGTGGTCAGCACAGCTGGCCGAGGGATGAGCTGAGGCCTCTGGTGGCCTGAGCAGGGACGCCACTGAGTACTGCAGGGTGCAAGGTGGCTTCCACGGCAGAGTTTCCCTTTCCCCACACAGTGCGACGGCGAACACACTCTCCACACACCTGTGGGACGGCCTCCGGAGGTGTGACAGGAAGCAAATTCTTGAGTCAAAGTTGAGAAGCTTTTTAGCTTCAATAGATCCTGCCGATAGATCCTGCCGGGGGTTCTGCATTCCCACCACGAGTGTGCGTGAGCCCAGAGTCCCCGTCCTCTTGCCAATGCTTCATTTTATCTCTCAAAATGATTGCAGGTCTGGAAGAAAAGGCCTTTTTTAACTGGTGTGTATAGAATTACTAGTGAGGCTTGACACATTGCATTAATTGGCTGTTTGCTTTTCTTTGAAGTTGAATTGCCATCTCTTGGGGTTTTGTTGTGGACTTTCCTGTATGAAGGAGGCAAAATACAGGGTGAGCTTTGCAAAAGGAAACGGGCGAGTGAAACGTGCTCATCTGATGAAGTGAGAGTTCCACCTGGTTTGAGGACTCCAGCTCCCGCCTCTTGGCATACACCCAGGTCCTGTGTGGTTCGGAGAGAGAAGAAAGCTCTGTGTGGACAGCTCTCCGACAGAGATGCTTGTTCTGTGCCATGGAAAAGGGAGCCTGGGGCAGAGGCAGCTCGGCAGAATGAAACCAGGTCATGAATCTAGGTCCTGCTTGGTCAGAGTGAGGAGAGAGAAGGGAGTGTTCCTGGAATTAAAATTCACCCCTGAGGCATCCGCTGACAGTGATGGGAACTTATGCTCTTGAGGGAAGTGAGTCATCTCTGGCCCAGCAGCCCTACTTGGGCGTTGGCCAGGTTAGAGCTCTGTGAACGCTGCCTGACAGCTTCGCTTTCCTCTCCTGTCCCCCACCCTAAGGATCGATGTCCATCGTAAAGAGAACGCAGGCGCTGCGGAGAAGTCCATTACTATCCTCTCCACCCCAGAAGGCACCTCTGCGGCTTGTAAGTCTATTCTGGAGATTATGCATAAGGAGGCCCAAGACATAAAATTGTGAGTAACGAGGATGAACCTGGGGAGAGGTTGATACCCGTGCGGTTTTGCTGTGAATTGACCGGTTCTGGGGATTGCCAGCAAACCCCGGAGCTGCTGCCTAGGAGGCCCGGGGGTGGGCGGGTTGATGTGGTGTAAAGCCAAGTCCTTAACATGTTCTTTGTGTCTGGCTGTGGGTGAGTGGCAGCAGTGAGGGCCGTCCAGCTATAGAAGGTGGCTGGGGGCATAAGCTCATGGGGTCCAGGAGTATCTCTGGGTTTACCCTCCGCGGGGCCAAGTCCTCATGCCGGGCTTTGAGCCCCCTGATGGGGGGAACCCTTCACCCTGTGCTGAGATGAATGGGGCGTATTTGGATGTTCCAGGTCGGAACTCCTGTCTTTCCTCCAGGAACTTGGAGTGCAGGTCGGGTTTTGTGCTACATTCAGTCTTAAGAGCAGTGCTGGCGTAGAGTAGAATCCAGAGTAAGGCGCTGGAGTTAGCCTGGGACCTAAAGCACAGCATTTAATTTGTAGGGACCTTTAAATACATTAAGTATATTTTAGTTATAAGGCTAGTTATATGGTGTTATAAGATTCTAATTTTTTTGTATAGAGAACAATAAAGATAACCTTAGTGATGTTGTTAATAATTTAAAATATATTTTTATTGATTTCAGAGAGGAAGGGAGAGAGCGAAACATCAATAATGAAAGAATCATTGATCAGCTGCCTCCTGCACACCCTACACTGGGGATCGATCCCTCAACCTGGGTATGTGCCCTTGGCCGGAATCAAATCTGGGACCTTTCAGTCTGCAGGCTGGCGCTCTATCCACTGAGCCAAATTGGCTAGGGCCATGTTTTAATTTTTTTATTTCAAAGTAATTTTAATATATTATTGATTTCAGAAAGAGGAAGTGAAAGGGAGAGAGAGGTAGAAACATCAGTGAGAATTATTGATCAGCTGCCTCTTGCATGCCCCCTACTGAGGATTGAGCTCAAACCCTGGGCATGTGCCTCCTGGTTCAAAGGTCAATGCTCAACCACTGAGCCACACCAGCCAGGCCCAATGACATCTGTAAACAGTGATAGGTGTTTGGGAAATTCAGAAAGGTGCAAATGAAATGTGACTCCATCCCCCGCTCTCACACTCTTCCCCAGAGGGTAACCGCTGCTGAGTTCCTTGTTTCCTTGGCTAAATTGTGCCTGAGTTGCCAGGCCTGGAGCTTAAGATTTATACTGAATTCACACTGTTGGCCTGTGCACGTTGTGTCCAGAGGTGGGGGTTAGGAACAGGAATTTGAGTAGGAGCTGTTTTCAAAGCTAAACAGAATCCATCATTGGAAGGTAGTTCCTGAGATGAATAAAAGGAAACCATTTTTAAAAGTTAAGTTCTATCCAGGCACATATTACTGACTTTACCCCCTCTGTTCACACATTGCTAGAATGCAGCTGATGGTCAGCCAGTTTAAACTCCTGGCATCATGCTTCCTATGTGGTAGGTGGGAAATAAGTGTTTGATGAACAAATATTCTCTTTGTACCCGAGAGTAGGGTTACTTGCCTGTATTTCATGACCTTTCTTTTTATATTTATTTACAGCACAGAAGAGCTTCCCTTGAAGATTTTAGCCCATAATAACTTTGTAGGCCGTCTTATTGGTAAGGAAGGAAGAAATCTTAAAAAAATTGAGCAAGACACAGACACTAAAATCACGATATCTCCGTAAGTGCTGCCTTGCTTGCTTTTGAATAAGAACATTTTCAAGCCTGTGTCTCACTGAAGTTTCATGCTAAGCATAGCCTGTCTCATTGACCGAGCTAGCCGGCTCCGCCCTGCTCATACTTCGTTTCTCAAACTCAGCCACTGTCTGCTGTCTGTCTCTAACCCATCTCGAAAGACTGCTCCCACCAAAGAGGCAGGAGGCACGAAAGCTTTATATCCATATTTCCCGGCTGATTTTTGGTCAGTTTGCTGACCTGTATTCCCCAAGGCATAGAGAGCCCAGGTTATTCTCCACTGATGTGTGAGACAGTAGCCCAGCGTCTGAGCGCTATGACAGTGGGAAGGCTCGAGTCCCCTAGTCTGTGGGTCAGGGGTTCGGGAGCAGCTCAGCTGATGGTTTTGCTCAGCTCTCATGTTGCTGACAAGTCAGTGCTGCCTGGTAGTGTGAGGCCTCAGCTCCTCGCCACAGGGACCGCTCCGCAGGGCTGCTCTGGGTCCCCAGGACACGAGACATGGTGGCTGTCTCCTGCCAGGCTGCCGCCTGCCAGTGTGGATGATCCGGGAGCAGGATGGCAGCGGCGGTGTCTTTGAAACACAGCCTGTGGGGAGGGGTCACCCTGAGGCTGGCTACCACAGCTTTGGTCCACAAGGCTCTGGAATGACTTGGAAAGGTTTTTTTTTTTTTTCTGAGCGGGCCTGTCCCTGGTTTCCATCAGAGTTCCAGAAAAAAGATAAGGTGGGAGAGGCGGAGGGACTAAGAGCTGAGCACCAGGTTTGTGTAGTAAGGAGTTCTCGAAGGAGGAGGTAATGGGGAAGGAGGAGGGTCCTGTTTGTAAAGAAACAAAAAGAGACACTAAATGGTAAATAAAATGCATGATCCTACCCTGGCTTGATGTTTATGCTCAGAAAAGGGAGGGTTTTAAGTGGGAAGCTAGTCTGGAAGCAGCTATTTTGAAAATTGAAATATAAAAGCTTGGCAGGGGCAAGGTGGGTTGAAAATGGAGATTAGAAATGCACTTCTTCTTTAAATAGTCTAAGACAAACAGTACGATGCTTACATTTTTAGCAAGTTGGAGGAACAAAGGAATCATACCCCGTTCAGCTGCCTCAGTTTAGAACACGGCGTTCTGCTGGTCATGAAGATGAGAGTTGTAACTGGGGATCTGACGGAGAGCTGGACCAGCAGTCCATGTCCTCTGCTCTGTGCGCTTACTTTCCACAGGGCTGGGCAGGCGTCTGCCTCACACGTCAGCGGAGGGCTGGGAAGCTTGAGAAGGGAGTTTCTGAATATTGCTGCAGCATTCTCATTTTTCACTTTTCTAAATGGTCATCCAGGGATCCTTTTTAAAAATGTTATATAGTCAAAATGGGTTGAAAAATAAAACAAAATTAAAAAACAAAAAGATGGATTGATTTACATGATTTCCTCCAGCGTACTTTATCTAAGTGCTAAGCTTCCTGGCAAAGAGGAAGTGTGTACATGTGAACTCTGGTTTGCCTTGGAGACATTTCCATGCTTACTCCTTGCCTGGTGACCCAGAAAAGGCAGTTGCTGGAGAATGCCAATTGTGCTTAGAGCTGGTCAGTGCAGACTGGGAGCACACTCATTGAAGGTTATGTACATCTGGTTCTCGGTTTCTGCTAAAACTATGTCCTTTCAATCCTGTTCTTTGTATTTCACTGTTAAATTGTAAAAGTGGTTCAACCTTAAGAGGCCAAGAAGTACACTGTGTTTAAACCACAAATGTAATCGAACCACGTGTGCCCAGTGGTTTTTATTGAGAAGCTGGGCGGGGAAGTGTTTTCTCTCCTCTGGCTTCACAGTTCTCGGGTTTGGGGGCTCACTTCGTTTTCAGCATGTCTAACCACCCACTTTTACAACTTGCCAGCCTCCTCATTTGGGTTTTACTTGCCATCTGTGGCTGAACTGTTACTACTCTCTTCCTCCCATAATTTCCATAATCTCTCTCTCCCTCCGTTTTCCATCTGCAGATTGCAGGAACTGACGCTGTACAATCCGGAGCGCACCATCACAGTGAAAGGCAGCGTGGAAACCTGTGCCAAAGCCGAGGAGGAGATAATGAAGAAAATCAGGGAGTCTTACGAAAACGATATTGCTTCTATGAATGTTAGTGTTAATACCGAGGGCGTGTGTTTATTTTGATGAAGTTAAGATGTTTTCAGTTGCACTGATATTTATTTCTTTAATGGTGGTGTCATTAGATTAGGTTCTCACTGTGGGGAAATGCCCTGGAAACACAGGCTCTGACAGCCGGCTTGGCTATCTCTGTGCTTTTAGCAGAGTGTTTAGTCTTTGAGACTTAGCTCCCTTATCTGTGAGGTGAGACTAATACTTACCTTAAAAAGGTTAATGTCTCTTGCACAGTGTTAATTTGAAGGAAATTAATACAGTAGAAGCATGTGAATGGTGTTTGAATCCCAGTTCACCTGTTTATTAACTGCAGCTCTGTTTTCTTGTACCAATTTATTTGTCTTTCTGAGCATCAGTTTCCTCATCTGTAAAATGGGGGCATTGCCTGCATATCATGCCTGTTAGAATTACAGTAGATAACAGTGCATGTAAAACTACTGTTAGGAATATGAATATAAATTTAAAACTTGGTTCCTTGGAGATAAAAATAATCTGTGTAGCGACCAGAACATAGTGAATTGTTGATGTTCCTTAATGGATGGAATGGTGCTCAGGATGAAACATTGGTAAAGTTCATCTTGAATTTTCAAGTAAATGATTGAAGAAAAACAGTTGTCCTCAATTGGGCCTGTCCTCTGAAACGTTACACCGAACAGAGGGAAATGTAAGATGTCACCTTTGTGAGGAGCGCTTAGAATGCTAATCCCTTTAGTGCACTTGACTGCCTTCCTACCTTTACATTGTCACCGCTCGTCCGAATGTCCCAGTGAACTGGGAGTACGTCCCATCCGCTGGCCTTCAGCTCTCTGACCTCCACCTCGCTGCCTCAGCCCTTACAAAATTAGACGGAAACAACTCCCTTTCTCAAGGATAAGTTCAGATGTAGGAGCTCTATACAGAGAGGACCTGATTTCCAAAGGCCTTTAGACCCATGACTCCAAATTTTATCCAGAAGTAAAGATCTCTTTTTAAAAAATATATATTTTATTGATTTTTATACAGAGAGGAAGGGAGAGAGATAGAAACATCGATGAGAGTGTCATCGATCAGCTGCCTCCTGCACTCCCCCTACTGGGGACATGCCTGCAACCAAGATACATGCCCTTGACCGGAATTGAACCCAGGACCCTTCAGTCCCCAAGCCGACGCTCTTTCCACTGAGCCAAACCGGTCCCGGCTAGAAGTAAAGATCTCTTAATAGCTCGTTTCCTTCCCAGTGGACAACTCCTGTTCGCTTACTTCTTCAACGGGTGCACAGTTTTCTGTCTGTGGTACGTGTGCTGCGGCATAGAGTGCGTCTCTGAGCTCTGAGCTGCCCTAGAGGACAGGAAGGCTGCGCTCCCTGCCCTGAGAAGCCCTGGGCTTCAGATGGAGGCAAACAAGCACATGGATTTTCAATGCCAAGAAATATAAACAGTTAGAAACTTTCTGCTCACGTGTGGCCAAAGGAAACTCCTGCTTTGTCCTAAAATTTTGTGTCAGATGATCTTCACTAGACAAGAGGTCACAATCTGAATATTGTCACTTAGACATGCTTGCTTACATGGCTCTCTTTATTTTACCATCGCAGCTTCAAGCACATTTAATTCCCGGACTAAACCTGAATGCCTTGGGTCTGTTCCCGCCCACTTCAGGGATGCCACCTCCCACCTCAGGGCCCCCTGCAGCCATGACTCCCCCTTACCCACAGTTTGAGGTAAGACGATGCGCCTCTGCTTTTTCATGGCTGAGCGGGGAAACATGGCGCCTTTGAGTGGTGTGATGTGAGCTGTTTTGGGGGGAAATCTTAATGTAAAACCTGGTTCCCGGGTGGCCTGGAATTAGTTTAGAGCCAGCACATGCTTTCTGCCTCTAGTGAATAGGACCTTCTTTCCTATTCCTTGCAGACACAGGACTTTGGGGTAGCAGGCTCAGTTGTCAGCGTGCGCTTTCAAAGGTCAGAAGTTCGAGACTTTGCAGAGGGAGAAAGAGGTTACTTATTTTTAATATTGAAGAAAAGGATTTTTAAAAGTCTTCATCTTTAATTGCTTTGAAAGATCGGTCAAAACTGCACTCTTTCATTTTGAGTGTTTCTACTTTTTAAAACTATGAACTCAGTTTTGTGTGCAAATGTTAAATGGCTTTTATTTATTTTGTAAACAGGTTAAGAAATAAACCTTATTTTTATATTTGCTTTTTAAGAATAGCATTTTTCCTGAGGTCAGAAAGAGGACACCAGTGATAGTAGGAAAATAATTGCAACATAGTAGACACCTTATCAAATAATTCTTTTTGAAAGTAAGTCATTTATATTATCAGTGATAATTGGGAGTAGACAATCATGTAAAATAAAATTGACACCGTTCTGGGGTCTTCCTTCATGCTTTTGTTTTTATATCCTTTCCAATTTGGCTCTCTTTGCCAATGTAGGGACATGTCTGGGTGGACGAGGTTGGGGGTTCCACCATCACTCTGCCTAGAATGTGTGTAGAGTGGAATGCCACTGGAATTCTACAGAGAACCAGGTCGCTGAGGTGGGCCGTATTTTCTAAGCATGGAATTCCTGAAACCACCACTGTTGGTGTGCGTAGCTTTTGCCCTCTTCTTAGGGTGTGTTTCTGCCTTGACTGTCAGCAGCATTTGCATCTTGCCTGAACTTACCTGCCACTTGCCCATGTTTGGGCTTGGAGACCATATGACAAAGCCCATCCATCTAAGGATAGGCCTCAGAGTCAGTCCCAGCTCCGTGTCGTGTGAATAGACTCACTGTGCCTTAAGTGGGCCTCTCCACTACAGCCAGAGGCGGGGAGAAGTAGCTGATGTGTTTGACCTTGATGCTAACCAGGGCAGGTGGAAAGAGCCTGCAGGTGAGAGCCCAGTCTGGCCCAGGTCTGCCCTGGGCTTGTGTCACCATAGGTCAGTCTCCTCTCGCTTTGGGTTTTTCTGACCTGAACAATGAAGAAACTGAACTAGATGGGTAATTTGTGAAAGGCTCTTTTTTTTTTTTTAGGTCACACATTTCTAGTTTTTAAAGAATTCAGTAATGTAAAAAGTTGGAGAAGAGAGTAAAAGTGAGCCTTGGTGGGAACTGAGAGGATATGGGCTTCCCTCTAATATGCCTCCTAGAATCTGGATTACAAACAGGTGCATTTGTCATATGCTGAGGTTAGGGCAGATGTGTCCCTGACAATTCTGTGTAAAATTACATGCATTGGAAACTATAGGAGCCGATTCACAGTAACTCTGTGCTGTAGAAGCTCCCCCTAACCCCCACTTCTGCTGCTGCCCTAACTGGCTTTCTCTTTGGGTAAGTCACCTAACGCCTCTCTTCCTCCTCCTGTTTCTCTGCTGGTTGCATGTCATGTTCCAGTCAGTAAAGCCTTTCGTACTACGAGTGGTAATATGTCAACATTCTTGGACATTATCATCATCTATACTTCAGTAGCAAAAATTCCTAAACTTAATTGATAGGTATCTATTTTTTAAGTATTCAAATAAAATAATATGAATATTCTTTGGATGTAGTCCATTTTCTGATTGTATAGTTTTGTGTATTGGGTTTCTATGCTGCTAAAAAATTGTTTTAAGAGAAGGGAGATCATATTAAGAACTTACACTTCTGAAGCACTTTTACAATTTGAAATATCTGACTTAAACAAGTAGCAATATTAAGGATGGGAGAAGGTCAAGGATCTTTTTAAAATTTTTATTTTATTTTATTTTATTATTATTTTTTTTTAAGGAGGCTCAGAGCTTGTGGTTTTGTAAGGGTCATCAGGAGCTTTTTGTTGCCCATTCATTGTCAGGAACTGCTGTTCTGGTCTGGAAAGTGTTTACTGGTCTGTGGAGGGTGGACCTAAATGTTGGAAAAGTGGATCTCCTATCAAGCCTAATGCGTGGGAGACAGTTTTTAGGATAAGCATTAACAGATCCCTCTTAGTCCCTCTTTCTAACCTGTTTGAGGCTTTACTTTAAAGCATAGTGAGAAAACTCTCCCCACTCCTTCCCCCTTTCTCTCACCACCTGTCATTCCAACCCATAGGCAACTATCAGGCCAAAGCTGTCTGTGGGATGCTGCCATATGTCTGTTTTTATGCTGCTAGATTTTGGCATGCTATATCATCAAGATTAGGTTTGGCTGTGTGTTGGAGTGAAGAAATGTGGTTAAAATGAATTTTCCTTTTTTAAGAGAAGAGTCGGAGGGCAGACAGTCCAGTGGCTCTGGTGGTGGTTCCGCTGTATCACCTAGGGCCGGCCGCCTGCTGGCTTATCATCCATCTCCGGTCCAGGTGACCGAATAGGCTCCAACCACTGTGTCCGATTTCAGCCAGCAAGAAGGATCACAATTGGAGGTCACCTCATTTAAAGAGGCTGCCTGAAGACAGCTTTTCACACTTCCACTGGTGTCCTGTTTGCTGGGACATCATACCTGTCCACTTCAGCCTGCAGAGGAGCTGGGAAACTGAGTCTGTAACTAAAGAGAGAGCAGGTGTCAGGGAAGCTGTTTGTGCTCTGGACTTAGCAGTATTGCGTGTTGTTAAAGGGATCTCTTGGAAAGGAAGAGGTAGTAAACTTTTAAGGTCCTCCCACCCCTCTACCCATCTCCCTACCTTCCCGTCACAAACCAGGAGACTCTTAATTAATTCTGGAGGAGAAAAGTCCATGTTCTGGTTCCACTCACTCCTGCAGATTATTTTCATCGAATAAAGGGAAAACACCGTTTTCAGAGAATAGTACTGTCTCTGGATACCAATTAGCATCAAGTCTACTTCCAAATAACTGTCAGGGAATTTTTTGGCTTAATGTTTGAGAGATCAATTCTTGAACAGTTTTGTTTTAGGATATAACTTCATGGGGGAGGAATACTTAGTTGGAATAACTATGCCTTTACTGTACTAGTAAACTGTTCTTTTTCTAAACCCAAATCACTAATAAGTGGTCACTCCTTTTTGAAACACACTGGCTACTATTTTTAAAGGCAATAGTGAAATTTACCAAAGCTTTATTTTTTTGCTTGCCATTGCTTCCTGCAGTCCTTTTATTCCCTTTGGCTTCTTTTTTCTCCTTCTGAAGCACGTAATGTGGAAGGTCTGGGATATTTTTTAAACGCGGGCTAGAGAGTGAAAGGCTGGCAGGCATTCACCGCGGCCAGGAGCCACCGTTGCTGCTCCTTAGAATCTCCCTACGGAAATCAGCTCTTACTAAGCCAGCTCTTCACCGTGATGCCCTGTGGTTAGCAGTAAATCTCTGCTGTACTTCACGTGTATATTGCCTGGAAGGAGTAGGTTTTGATGACAAAATGATTCAAAGAATCTGACTTTTTAAGTAGTGCTTCCTCTTTTGTAGTGGGTTCGTTTCTTCTCCCTCCTGCTTCCTCACTCTGCTCTGTGATATGATAGAATGGATGCATCTTGTCTTTGGGTAAATTCCTTGCCTCTGTCCATCCTCTTCTCCCTGGAACCTGCCAGGTTGATTATTCCCATAGGGCCGAAGAGTTGGTTCTTCCAACAGACAAAAAGTCTGCAGTTCCGCCTAGCAGCTGGCTCATGCAGGACTTAATTGGCAAACTTGGAGTTTATAAATGACAGGAAATGCTCCTTTCAGAAATGCTCAAACAGTAGGGAAGAGGCAATTGGCAGCTAGAGAGCAGAGCAAGAGCTGGAGTTGGCACACAGCGTCACCCACACAGCCACAGCCATGGCTTGACAGTGTTGGCAGCTTGCTTTGGGGTTGGCAGGAGTTAGACCAAGTGCTGTTGTCTTAATTTTGGTAGTGCCTTTGGAGTCTTCCCAAAAGTCTCCACATAATAGCATCATCTTAAAATTGCTAACTTCCTGCTTAAGGAAGAGGCAAGAAAGGTGAGCAGTTGCTTACATTCAGCTAGTTTAAGGTGCTCTTCAAGAAACAAAATAGGAGTTGAAGGGAATTTTTAGATCAGGTGGCTGTTTTGTGGAGTCTCTTGAGTCCTTCTGAGGATTTCTTACCATGGGTACAGCTCTTTTGTCAGTGAAAATTTCAAAGTAAATAACCCCTTGCACACATTAATTACCTCTAAGAGGCCCTGATAACTTGTTATGGGGTGAAAGTTTCTTTGCCCTTTTTTTTTTTGTTTAAGATTTCGATATTCTTTTCAGGTCATGGAGTTGAATATATTCAGTTCCAGTTCCAGACCAAAATCCATTCAAACAAAACAAAGAAACCCAGGAATATCTACTTTACAAGCCCAAGGAAACACTGGCGTCCCTCCAGGTTCCTGCAGGCCGCTCTTGCTGGCTGGCATGCACGTCTCCATGCCTTTGTCATGTCTTGGGTTCTGTTCCCCACAAAGTAAATACACTTAACCTTACTATTTGCTCATTCTTGTATCATAGATAATTAGGAATTACTCATTGGCAGACTGCACCAGTTATGCAAACTTTCATGGAGCAGCTTTGTTCCTTTGTTTTTTCAAGCTCTAACATAGAGTCTGCCAACAGCTCCAAAGGAAGTTCTGCCGATAGGCATCTGGCAGAAATCCACTGGGAAGCAGCTTGTGTCCTGTGAATATCCTTCACCTCTGAAGGTTTAGGAAAAAGGGTTTGAGATAATGCAGCTAACATGAACTTAAATGCAGAGTGTGTAACAGCAAAGGCAATGCTGATGCCTTTTTTCAAGCTCCATCTCAAGAGACTTGAATTCACAGGTGGAAGAGGCTTATCATACCCATTGTTCTGGTTTTAGTTTTGTAAGTAAACATGAAGTTATCTGCTTATCTTACGGCCTGAGTCCCAAAAACATGACTTACTCTGCTGAGTCCCATGTCAGAATGCTTTGTACCAGAGAGCCAGTGTCATGATTGGCAAGGGGACAGGATGTTTATGTGAGGTGCCTTATATTCTCAGAGGAAAATTTCCTTTAAAATTAATGTAGGGTCAGGGAGATGCCTGGTGGATATGGAATTGGAGCAAAGGGAATTGGGCGATGTCAGAAATGTCTTCATCAAGCCATCTGATGAGTCAACTCTGTATTAAGGTGCCAAGAGAACACGTCACTGTCGGGCTGGGCACCACCTCCTGGGGTGCTGATGCCTTTTGTACTTGACAGGTTCTCGACTGCCGTTCCATCCCTGTGCGGAGCCCCTTTCTGTCTGCACACTGCTTCTCCCTGCAGGTCTTTGCCCTTCTTTCTCTTTCCTTTTGGTCTTTTGGACCCTTCTCTGTTGACCACCACTCCTTTTCCAAACTTGACACAACTGTTAAACCCCAACACCTCAACAAATCGATAGCCTTTCGTCACTGGTGAAAGGCGATTCAGCTTTTGCTCACCCTTTGAGTTTTAACGACATTGTCTTTGCCTCTGCGTGGTGGTCTTCAGTATTTTCCGACTGACACAAGCTGGGGCACTGCTGGCTGGACTCCCGCTCAGAGGATGATGCTTGTTACCTTATCCTCTGAGGGCATTCACTAGTTGCTCTCCAGATCAGTCACAGGGAAAGTAGTGTTTACTAAGCAAAAGGAATTTTTCTCTTCTGGATACGGTAAATCATGCAACTGAATTTTTTCTTTTAATTAGCAGCTAAGAAGCTGAGAGTCAAATTTGTGTAGTAGCATTTCTGGTTTCATCTTATCTCTTCTGTTCAGGTCTCTATGCTCTTTTTCTTCACCTTTGTTTTTTTTTTTTTTTAGGTTATATGTACTTGGTAAGCAGCATAAAATCTTACTGGACCAAGGCCCAGAAAAAAAATAATTATAATCATGGCAAAATACAGTGGGACAGTTCTGGGCGAGTTACACCTTAAGATTTAGGCTGATCAGTTAAGAGGTTTTTATCACTGCCAAACTTCTCTCTCCTCAAAAAGGATATTATTCAGAAGAACGTGATATGGATGTTCTCAGTGACATACAATATTTAGGTCCTAGCTTTACTTAAAAAAGAAAAAGAAATTGCCCTGGCTGGTTTGGCTCAGTGGATAGAGCGTCGGCCTGCAGACTGAAGGGTCCCAGGTTCAATTCCAGTCAAGGGCATGTACCTTGGTTGTGGGCACATCCTCAGTAGGGGGTGTGCAGGAGGCAGCTGATGGATCTTTCTCTCTCATTGATGTTTCTAACTTTATCCCTTTCTCTTCCTCTTTGTAAAAAATCAATAAAATATATATTTTTAAAAATTGGTTAAGCCCTGGCCAGTGTGGCTCATTTGGTTGAGTGTCATCTCATGCACTGAGAAGATGCTGGCAATAGATGCTGACATTGAACACAGTTTATGGTCGGTGTCAGCATTAATCAAATTGGTCTATCTGGTTATTAAAATACGATAGGCCTTAAAGGGCCCCTTGGGAATAAATGGCGTGTGCTAACTGCATAACATTGGCAGGCTGAGGTATGCTGCTTTCCGAAAAAAGGCACGGTTCTCATGAATAAGGAAGTAATATTATTTGGTGTTCTTCACTGATGGATAGCAGCAATAGTCACCTGACTAAGCTGTGCAGGACAAGCCCCTATTACAAATCTCCACAGGCAAGAGTTTGATTAAAAAAAAAAAAAAAGTTTAGTGATAAGGCAGTCTCCTGGTGTTTATCCTAAGAATGCTGTAGAGTCTAGAGCAGCAAGAAAAGACTTCATTTAGCTGACAGCTATGTTGTGTGTGTTATGACATCCTTGGAAACATATGGAATATTAAAGAAACACCAAGCTATAAAGAATATTGTGTATCTATTTAGACAGATGCTGAAGAAACAAAATCCAATGGTTTTTAGTAAAAATATTTCCTAGAGTTGAACTTTAGGTGCTCTCACAGGAAATAGGAGGTGCATGGTGGGACTATAAAGGAACAAATTCGCAGAATTTAGATGATTATTTGTAGAAAACTAGGTATAGGGTCTAGAATCATACATTGCTGTTTTTCATCAGTGTGAAAGGCATGTTTAAACTATTATAAAATAGCCCCCTTAATATACGGACTGCAAGATACATTAGTATGAGAATTTAGAAATATCTGTCAGTTTTAAATGGTTATGCTCTGACACAGCATTTTAATTACATAAATTTTTAGAAGCATTTGTACAAGGGCACAAGATTTATGTTTAAAGATTTTACATGAATTAGTGAAAAACTGGAAAACAGATTTTCTGAAGGTATTTAATGTTCACTTGAGGATAGAGACATAGACTTGAGGGTGATACATCAATTGGTTACCTTTTGTACATGCCCCGCCTGGAGATGGAACCCATAAGCCAGGTCTGTGCCCAATTGGGAATTGAACTCTCGATCTTCCGTGGCATGGGATGACACTCCAACCAGCTGAGCCACCTCAGCCAGGTCACGTTTTGTTTTTTTGTTTTTTAATTGATTTTTATTTTTTGTTAATCCTCACCCGAGGATATATTTTCTATTTTTTTAATTTTTTTTAAATTTTTTTTTAGAGAATGGAAAGGGTGGGGAGAAGAAAAACATCAATGTGAGAGACACACACATTGGTTGTCTCCTGTACATGCCTACCAGAGATCCTATGAGCCAGGACCAGGAATTGAACCCACAACCTTTTTTGGTATATGGGACAACGCTCCAACCACCTGACCCACCTGGCCAGGGCAGGTCTTTCCAGTAGTGTCCTCAGATACAATGAAATCGCTGTCAGGTTAAGGTGAAGGAACAGTGGGTTTTTTCCCTTGACTTTTCTGTGATGTGATTTTATTTTCATAACTTTACTTCGTAAGAACCTTCCTTGGATATAGTGATGGGGGAATCTTCATTGTAGACATAATCTGTGCCTCTATTCCAATACATTTAAACTTTGTGACATTTATAGAGCTTGTAAATCTATAATTTGGTGACATTTTAAAGTTAAGAAAATTGTGTACAGAAGTGATAATTTAGATGCAAGTGCTTTCAGGATGAGTATATAAATAAGATATATATAAAGGTAAACTCAGGTCAGGTTCCACAGTGATTTTCCTACATCTATCCCAGCATTCCTGCCGTACGCAAAGCCCCCTTCCCTATACCACCGGTAATAGCCTGATCGTATGCAACAAGCATGACTGTGCTGTGTTTCTTTCCCGACAGCAATCGGAAACGGAGACCGTCCATCTGTTTATCCCAGCCTTATCTGTCGGTGCCATTATTGGCAAGCAGGGGCAGCACATCAAACAGCTTTCTCGCTTTGCAGGAGCTTCCATTAAGGTACTGTTCTGCCAGTTGCGGCGGCCCTGGAGCTTTAAGTACAGTCAGTCACAAAACATGAGTCTTCTTGATACCTTATAATTTGAATTGCAAAGGTACAGTCTATCCTGAAGTTACTTTACTTTATATGGTCTCAGTGACAGTACTTGGAGGGAATTTACCAGTCATCTGCATTGGTGAATTTTGGGGGCTCTGATGCACACGGGCCAAAGACCACACTCTGAATGGCAGTGGTGTCGTGACGGGCACGTGTGGTGGACACAGACCCAGCGCTCCCTCCAGCTGTGTTGGCTGTGATCATGGGCCAGTTAACAACTGCTCCAGCCTCCGCCTGCCCACAGTAAAGCAGAGGCAGTGCCTTGTCAGGATGGAGTGAGAATTAGCTGAGGGGCTGCAAACGGACTTGTACATTAGGACCAGGCACAGTGTAAGGACAAGTGTGTGGCAGGAGCAATAACTAATAAGCCCACATTAATTACTGTCTCTTCATAACTTCCTTCCGGAAGACTTTCTACGTGTCACTAAGCCAGGTGCAAATGTCAGGCTGTTTGTGTGACCTTTCTATCCTAACCGATGGGTCTGTTCCAGATCGCTCCTGCCGAAGCACCAGATGCGAAAGTGAGGATGGTGATTATCACCGGGCCACCGGAGGCCCAGTTCAAGGTGTGTGCTCTGGAGTCTGTGCACAGGCAGCAATGAATGGATGGGAGAATAGGAATGCCTTCTTTTCAGGAACTCTAACCTCCTTAAATGTATCTCATACTCAGTAGAAACAATTTCTGGATGGACATTTCTAAAGACTTAGAACAGAGTAGAGGAGTATTTGAGATCTTGCTTGCCAGCCATGTGGTCAGTTTGGCATAAAAACAATCTTATAAAAATTAGTAGAACTTGTATACTTGAAACATGTAATTTTTATGACCAGTGTAACCCCAATAAATTAAAATTTTTTTAAAAGAGTAGAAACAAACCCCCAATTACATTTCAAAACCAAAGCCTTTGTTTCGAGAGTTCTTTAGTGGTTATTGGATTTACCTGTCTCCCGAAAGAGAATTTGCTCAAATGCCTTGTGATATGTGAAGGTGAGCCTTTAATGCTGAAATTCACAAGCTTGCCTGATTAATGCCTTGGAAAACTTATCTAATTTCCCTTGCCCCTGAGAAGCCATAAACTTGAATTAGAATGCCTTTTCCTCTTACCCTTGGATTAACTGTTAGCCCCAGTTCACTGCCTCTCGTTACTCTTGTCCAATTAAACTTAACTCTGCAGAGCAAACTAATGGTAACGCACCATAGGGAGGTTTCTTACGTGTAACATCTAGTTGTATGCAGTAGGTGACAGGATGTGCTGACTGTAAATATCAGAAGTATGTGTTAACTTTTTTAGTTTTATTCAAAGTAGAAACCACCTGGTTTAAGAGGAAAAAACAATTCCTCTCAGCGGGTTTCTCACTGGCCCATTGAGACAAGAGCTGGCTTCCTGTGAGCCTAGTCTCCTCTGCTCAGGAAAAATAGAATTACTTATTACCTGGAGGAGAGTTTTACCTTTCAGGTGAAGAGCAAATGGCCATTTGCTCACAAAAGTGATTTATTTTTAGTTGGGATGACTATTATTTAACTCCTTTAACTTTTGTCTAAAGAATATGGTTCATTCTTTCACCCATCATTCAATGGACTCATCTGTGACATGCAGTTCCGGTCAACTTTTTCCAGGGCTTCCTAACCTGTCTCTAATGTGATCTTCCATCTATCAAATGCAGACGCATCATTGGCAAAGGACTACTCCAGTAGACTTAGGCGTTTTTAACGCCTATTTTATTGATTTTCCACAGAGAGGAAGGGAGATAGTCAGAAACATCAATCATCTGCCTCCTACACATCCCCCACTGGGGATGTGCCCGCTACCAAGGTACATGCCCTTGACTGGAATCGAACCCGGGACCCTTCAGTCCACAGGCCAATGCTCTATCTACTGAGCCAAACCGGTTTTGGCGACTTAGGCTATTTTTAATGTTAAAGGACTTTTTGTCTCCTACATGAATGACACTGATTGATAGGCTATGTTCTCATCTGTAGGCTCAGGGAAGAATTTATGGGAAAATTAAAGAAGAAAACTTTGTTAGTCCTAAAGAAGAGGTGAAACTTGAAGCTCATATCAGAGTGCCATCCTTTGCTGCTGGCAGAGTTATTGGAAAAGGAGGCAAAACGGCAAGTACTTCAGCAAAACCTGTGCAGTGGTATGAAAGGGAGAGCACTGAAAGGTACTTAGGAGTTCCAAGTCTCTGAATGTTGGCTAATTTATAAAAAGCAGGACCATCTGGGCCAACGTTTGGAGAAGACTGTCTTTTGTTCCTCCCAAGTGTTGGTGTCAGCTACCGGTGAAGTAATGCCTCTCTTTCAGACCACTTTGTGTGAGAAAAGTCACTTGTAAGGGGCATTTAGCTTTTTTCTGTTGACATAACTCAGTTTTTAATTTTTATTGCACAATGACATGAGAAAAAAATTAATTTCATCTTTTATAACTTGTAACTCCGTAACTGGAAAAAAAATGCTTCCCAGATTTAATACATGTAACTAAGTCATTTTCAAAGCTACTTACAATTTTGAAGTGATTGAGCATACACTTTGGAAGCAGACTCTCAGGGTTTGAATTTGGGCAAGTCAGTTTCTTTCCCTAAGCCTTGGTTTTCATCATCTTGCAGTGGGGACAGTATTACTAACCGAACAGAATCATTAGTGGATTGGGTGAAATTTGTAAAGCCATAGCTAGTGTTTGGCATAGTAAGTGCTCAGGAAATGGTAACAAAAGACAAAAGTTAACGTGATTTGTATTTATCTTTTTCAGGTGAACGAGCTCCAGAATTTATCTAGCGCTGAAGTTGTTGTCCCTCGTGACCAGACGCCTGATGAGAATGATCAAGTGGTGGTCAAAATAACTGGGCACTTCTATGCTTGCCAGGCAAGTGGGCTCTAATGTGATCAGCAAGTTCTAGTGCTTTTCCCCCAAATGGAAGCAATTTTCCTGTAGGTACCCAACACTTAAAAAATTTTTAGTTGATTTATGTTTTCATTTGAGTTGGTTTAATTCCAGGTGGTACAGAATTCAGGATAGAAAAAAGACTGAACACACCGACAACTCTAGGCTGGGTCTACTTTGACCTCACAGCTAAGTTAAAAATGGCTGAGTGAGAAGAACTAAAGAGATACGTCACTGCATTCTTACTGTTAACAAAAGGTTTCCTTAAAAGGTCCCACAGGCTCCAAGACTCGTCCTAGCTTACAGGTGGCACAGATGTTATGGCAGGGAAGTCAGATGTGTTCAAACAAATGGAATGGCCCAGGCCCAAGGACTGGCTCACTTTTACCAGATTTAATTCCACCAACGGCCAGGAAACTGAGTTTATCCTGAGTTTCTCTATTCATGCTTCTCCTTGAATGTCTTATCTTCCTCCTTCTTCTTGCCACCCTCACAGGTGGACATAGCCCTTTCCCCAGACCCTGAGCACTCTGTCCCATCCCTGTGCCTGTGCCTCCAGGTGGGCCCATTGATTCTAGTGCCCAACAATTCCTTTTAGCAGGTGGCTTCAGAGGCTACTAGCAAACTAATTAGGATGGATAATTAATCTTCAAATACACTTCTGTTTGAAGTTTTTGAAATGCAAAAGTAAAACCAACTTTGAGTAACTTTGATCAGGTGGGAATTTGAAAACTCTCTCCTTCTGTAGGTTGCCCAGAGGAAAATTCAGGAAATTCTGTCTCAGGTAAAGCAGCACCAACAGCAGAGAGCTCTGCAAAGTGGACCACCGCAGTCAAGACGGAAGTAAAGGCTCAGGAAACAGCCCACCACAGAGGCAGATGCCAAACCAAAGACAGATTGCTTAACCAACAGACGGCGGCTGACCCATCCAGAATCACATGCACAAGTTTTACCTAGCCAGTTGTTTCCGAGTACCAGGCAACTTCCGAACTCCTGTCTCTGTGAGAATGTATCTTTGTGCTCTCTGAAACGGTGACACCCAGCTTTAAAAGGAAAAAGGGGAGGGAGGAAAAGAGGAGCTCTGCACTTCCCTTGTGTTGTATTTCCAGTGTAAAACTTTTCTAATTTTTCTTAATGTTCCCGTGTATGCAAGAAATTGGCTTAGTGATGCACTCACTAAATTCATCAAATAAAAACAGATTGCTCCTAAGCGAGAATAGAATTATTATAGGAACTTAACTGTTATGGTATCAACATAGAAAAACTTCTGTTTTATTTTTATCTAACACTAACATGAATAACCTAAGGGAAGTGCTGAATGGTGTTGGCAGGGGTATAAAATGTGCATTTTTACTCAACTACCTCAGGTATTCAGTATGCAATGAAAGCAAATTTTGTGGTTTTTTTTTTTTTTTTGAAAATTTTATATACTTTATAAAGATAAAAGTCCAACTGTTTTTTAAAAATAAAATTTAATTAGCTAACAGGCAAATAACTGAAAAAAAAATTTTTACTTCTGGCTGGTGACAGTAAAGCTGGAAAATTAATTTCAGGTTTTTGAGGCTTTGACAGTTTTTAGTTGGAAAGTCCAATAAATGTCCAGTGACATGGAGCAGTGCCTATATTTGGAGAGCAGCAATACCAGTTCCTTTTTGTTGCGGTAGCAAAGTTTCTGATGGTGCTAACAGAGCAGAGTGGTCGCAGGAAGTTTGGAATGGCTGGTTTCAAATGGCTTCAGGGTTTCTGTTGGGCTAAGTGAGTGCATAATTGCTTTGTGCTCCTGACATCACTACCTAAAGAAAGTGCAGCAATGGAGATAGGCAGCCCCTGTGGATTGGCAAAAAGCGAGCCCCAGCTTGTCTTACAGGTGCTTAGTTTGCCAATCCACCTCAGCAGTTGGTTTACCCTTTGAGCAGACCCCAAGAGTTGCTTGCAAAGCCCAGTGGGGCAGTCAGATAGTGTGAGTGTTGGAAGGCCATGAAAAGCTCCATCTGCATGTGCCAGGCACTGCCATGAGCCTCACTAAGCTGTTTTGAAGATTTTTAAACAATGATAAAAAGGAAAGGCCACCTAAAATATTAGGTTACGTTAAATACAGCAAGATTTCTGTATTCTGTGCAACCAGTTGTTGTAAGAAAACATTTTTGGGATATAGTTCGGATGACTGTGATAAAGCCTTTGACCTGAACTCATTTGCCCGTCCTGTAACTTGATGGCAAAGCCCAGGATGTTGAATTATGTGGGTGGTCTCCAAGGCACCCTGCTCTCAGAATTGTTTGTTGCTTTTTGTTCACGAAAGGATCACAGTCATCACATTACATGAATCTGAAGGACATATATAATAACCCTTAAAAAATCATTTTGCCTCATTTGTATTTCAAAATGAATTTCTACAGACTAGGTAAGTTTTTCTAATGATCATTATATCAGACATTTCGGAAATGACTTGAAATGTTTTCAGAAAACCAGTTTATTTTGTAGTGTTAGCCAAAAAGTGCCCTTTTTGTCACTGAATTCATCTAGCATTCCTAATCCCCCCATCCCCACCAGCAAATTGCTTAAAAAAATAATCATGGACTGGCTTTCGGGTTGGTTTTTAGGTGAGATGTGCTTATGGCCAGAACTCTTCCTCAGTATTTGATTTTGCCAATATTTGATGAGTTGTTTTTTAAAAAATACAAATAGGTGCTACATTTATATCTGCTGGTTTAAATTCTGTCATATTTCACTTCTAGCCTTTTAGTGTGGCAAATCATGTGTTACTTTGAATTAAGCGTTGGTAATGGAGTATCTGGAAATAGCTAGAAAATAACTCTGAGTTTGCACTCACCGCATATGGATCATTCCTCATTTGTAATGTGCCCAAATGCAGCTTCATTTTCCAGACACCTTGATGCAGAATAAAGTTTTTCATCATTAGGTGCAGCTTGATGTTTTTATTTATTTTTCAAATAAATATGAATGTAAGTTATAAATTTAAACAGATTTTTAGTAATGTTGAAGTCATTCTCAAGGTAAGCACCAATATCTATTATTTCCTTTATCCCATGGTACGTAATGTGAACCTGGATAATACTGTTTGCATATGAACTGGAATTATAGGGCTAGTCATGTGTTTTTGCTTTATTTTTTAAAATGTTGTCCCATCCCGTTCTATATAGTAATACTTATCACTGAACTCAGATTTTTTATTAATTTTGCTTAAGTATAACTTTAGGAAACCCTCCTGGCAGCTCAGGAACAAAGACATTAAACCTGCAGTTGAAGCTCCTTTACCTGCACTCTCCACTTTCTGGTGTCAGCATGATGCCCATTCAGATAAGACTTGTTTTGACAATAACTTACCCACAGTCTGAAATGAGCAAACCAGAATTTTATTCACATTTGAACTCCACTGGAGTCAGGGATGACGTGTCATCTTCTATTCCAAGAATGAAGTCTTCAGGTAACGTCTCGGGTGCTATCTGAGCTAACTGGTCATCATAGGAACGCAGGGTCCATAACTTCTCCAGTTCATACATTTCTCTGGTCTCTGGAAGCATCAAATGAACCACCATCCTGCCTATCAAGGACAGGTAAGAGTTACAAAGCAGCAGCAGTTTGTTTGATGCTGTTCTAATAGTGTATTACTCACAGTGTCGACCACAGAAGAGCACTGTCTGAAAACTTGGCCCCATCCAGTAAAATACCACCGAAATGCTGCTGTTTTTGTCTCAGTGCATCACACAGGAGGGTGCATGATGCCAATATATACAAGTTATTGTATCCAAGTGACTGCCACTCAGCTTTCTCTTGAGAGAGAATTCTCCAAATGTGTCACTGCCTTTTGTTCTGGGCTATCTTTTTTGAGATACTTGCTCTGGAGCAAAGGGCAGCTATGGATGGGGGAAAGTAGGATGCTAAACATTCTACAATACACAAGATATTCCTACCTACTAAAATTACCTGGTCTAAAATGTTAAGTGACAAAGCTGAGAAACCCTGACTTACAGCCTTGCCAGAAAAAATGTCTTCCACCACAGCAAAAGGACCTGCTTCCCGCCCATCATAAACGATGTCCATTCTGTAAAATCCGGTTCCTCTCTTAGAACGATGTGTACAGGCCCATGTTGCTCTATATAAACAGGCTTAGGGAACCAGCTCCAAAAGTGCTGCTGTTGGCTGAGCTATTACAATAACAGCCTTGACTCCTTTACCCAGAAACTGGTCGGCTGACAAGAGAAAATCTCAGGCTCCCCTCAGTTCTTGACAGTTACTGTTTTTCCCTTTGAAGTAAGTACCTTGTGGGGAAATACTTTGAGACTATGTGTATATGTTAATACCCAGATTCGTTAGGTCTCTTCAAATCCCAGTCCTAAGTCAGGAGTACTCTTCACTTCAGCCAAGCTTCCAGTACCACTAAGGGATCTCTACCAGGTTACCTATCCTGGTCTATCCTCTTTCTGACCTCTGACTCATAACATACATACCAGGTTAGGTGAGCATTTCACATGTGAATAAGACCACCTGGGTTACAATGAAAACATTTTGAAAATTTTATATGGGAAAATACTCAGCAATTTGATCGCAGTCCTTCTGCAATTGAAAATAGTTCAATGCGTCAACATAACTTACCGAAGTCCACACACAGCCAGTCATCAGTGTCCTTCCCTTCAATTCTCACATGAGGCTCATTTTTACTTTTTAGGAATTTGTACTGAAAAAGGAGAGAGAATTTATTAAAGGGCGAAGAGGTGGGGGAAATCTTTCCTCTTACTGAGGTTCTGGTGGTATTTTTTTCTTGGTCTTAATTTGGAACCTAGCTTACTCATTCCTATTTGCCCCATAATAACTTAGGAAAACTAGTTCCCCCTAAGTCCTTCCCAATTTCTATGCCTTTCTAACTCCTGCCCCAAACCACCAAACCACCACAGTGTCTGGTGCACGGAGTCATAAACTCATATCTGGTCCTCACATATCATCCCAGCTTCCCTTCAATCTCAGGGAAGGCAATGTTAATGAGACTTTCATCATCCCACACCTGCTCCTAACAGATATATTTGTCACAAAAGGACATTAATGATAAAAGGGGCAACTGACCAAGGTGACAGAACTATGCACACGTATCTGCCCGAAGCCGGTGTGGCTCAGTGGATAGAGCATCGGCCTGCAGACTGAAAGGTCCCAGGTTTGATTCCAGTCAAAGGCATGTAACTTGGTTGCGGGCACATCCCCAGTGGGGGGGGGGGGGGGTGCAGGAGGCAGCTGATCGATGATTCTCATCTATGTTTCTCCCTCTCTGTAAAAAAATAAAATATATACTTTTTAAAACAGAGCTCCTAAACACACAAAACGCTGATAGGATTAATGAAAGAAATAGATGGCAGCAGTAAGATGAGACTCGCTACCCCATTTTCAATCATGGACAGAACAACCAGACAAAAGATCAATGAAGAATAAAGACAACATTTCCAAGCATCGGATTTCAGACATCTAATAAGAACACTGCACCCAACAATAGCAGAATATAATCTTTTTAAAAGTACATGAAACATGTTTCAGGATACATCACGTAAGGCCACAAAACAACTCTTAATAAATTTAAATTTTAAGGTTGACTTTTAGAGATGGGAAGAAAGAGGGACAGAAACATCAATCCACTGCAATCTGCTCACCGCTCTGCTGGGGATCGAGCCTGCAACCTGGGCCTATGCCCTGACCAGGAATCTAACCTGGTTCATGGATGGACACTTAACCATTGAGTCACACCCACCGTGCAAGTCTTTATATATTGTTTTTTTAAAAAAAAATTACATAAGTATATTTTCTGGTCACAATGAAAACTAGAAATCAGAATGAAAACTAAAAATATCCACAAAAATGTAGAAATTAACACTTTTAAACAAACTTACAAAAACTAGGAAATGAAAAACAAAAACTAACAGAAAGAAGGAAATGATCAGAGAATAAAATGAAACCAAGTTTTTTTTTTTTTAAATATATTTTATTGATTTTTTTTTACAGAGGAAAGGAGAGAGAGAGAGAGCTAGAAACGTCGATGAGAAACATCGACCAGCTGCCTCTTGCACACCCCCTACCGGGGATGTGCCCGCAACCAAGGTACATGCCCGTGACCGGAATCGAACCCGGGACCTTTCAGTCCGCAGACCGACGCTCTACCACTGAGCCAAACCGGTTTTGGCCAAGATTTGTTTTTTAAAAAGATCAATAAAATTGGCAAATCTTTAGGTGGATTAACAAATAAATAGAAGACCCAAATAACTAAACCAGAAATTGACCCACAGTCGATTAATATTTGACAAAGGAGGCAAGAACATACAATGAGTAAAGACAGTCTCTTCAACAAATGGTTCTGGAAAAACTGGACCACTCACACCATACACAAGCATAAACTCAAGGTGGATAAAAGACTTAAATGTAAGGCATGAAACCATAAAAACCTTAAAGGAGAACGTGGCAGTAAAATCTCAGGCATCTCATGTAGCAATGTGTTTACGGATACATACCCTAGGGCAAAGGAAACTAAGGAGAAAATAAACATCAAAATAAAAGCTGCTCAAAATAAACCACCATCAAAATGAAAAGCAAATCCTAATGTAGGGGAGACTATATTTGCCAATGATACACTTGATAAGGGGTTAATATCCAAAAATATATAAAGTACTCATATAACTCAACAAAAGGAAGACAATCCAATTTAAAAATGGAGAGAAAACCCGAACAGACATTTCTCCAAAGAGGACATACAAATGGTCAAGAGATATATGAAAAACTGCTCAGTCACATTATCAGAGAAATGCAAATTAAAACCACAATGAGAGAGCACCTCACACCTGTCAGAATGGCTATCACAAAGAAAGCAACAAACAAGTGCTGGAAAGAATGTGGAGAAAAGGAAACGCAGACTGGTGCAGCCACCATGGAAAACAGTATGGAGTTTCAGAGAATATATGCACCCCTATGTTCACAGCAGCATTACTTACAGTAGCTAAGATTTGGAAACAGTCCACGTGCCCACCAGTAGATGAACGGATAGAAAAGCCGTGGGACATTTACACTACGGAAAAGTAATGAAAAGCAAGGACCTACAACAAGTTACTCTAACCAGGAAAGCTATCATTTAGAATAGAAGGATAAAGAGCTTCCCAGACAAGTAAAAGCTAATAAAGTTTATCACCACCAAATTAGTATTGCATGAAATGTTGAAGAGTCTTCTTTAAGAAGAAAAAAAAAGTAAATGTAAACAATAAAATGGCAGTAAACATATATCAACAATTAAATCTAAAAATCAAAATAAATAAGCAAAACAGAAACAGACTCATAGACACAGAGAACATTTTGATGGCTGCCAGATGGGAGGGGATTGGGAAATGGGTGAAAGAGGTGAAGGGATTAAGAAAAACAAATTCGTTGTTACAGAATAGTCATGGGATTGTAAAGTACAGAATAGGAAACGCAGTCAATAATATTCTAACTATGTATAGTATCAGATGAGTACAAGATTTATCGGGAGGATCACTTAGTTATAGTGAATCACTGGGGTGAACACCTGAAGCTAATATCATGTTGAAAGGGTTAGCTAGTAACTCATTTAGGGACTGAGGAGGGTCCACAGGAGAGGAAAGCACGTGGAGACGTTAGTAAAGATTCGGGGTGTGCTTATCTCCCTGTACAGAGGGCAGAAAAGTGCCACGCCCAGCTAGAAATATTTCTGGCCCAAGCAATTAAAATAGCCATATACCAAGGACACACAGGTATCTCTGGCCTGAGCAATTAAAGTGACCAAAAGCAGCCCTGACCCGAGGAGCTGGGAGAGCTGTAAGATAAGGCTTCTCTGCCAGCACAACTGGGAGAAAACCGTAAGGTAAACCCAAAGTGACTCCAACCAGCAAGGTAAGGGGCACCACATGGGCTTTGAGCTTTGTCACTAATTCTATGTAGGAAAATGACCAATAAGGAAAACATAGGGATCCTACATTAAGGAAAGGGACCAATAAAAAAAGGCCAGATTCAAACTAAGAACTGCAGCATATATAAACTGGAGACAAAGGGACACGAGACAATTTTTTAACTCTTTTTTTTTCATTAAAAAGAGAGAGAACAGGTTTTCCAATTGGGGGGAGGGGATGTCCCTCCCCATGGGGTCCCTTTTGGGGACACCCCTGCCCAGATGGAGTTTGTATCTGCTTCCAATAAACTTCTACATCTTTAAAAAATATATTTTATTGATTTCAAAGAGGAAGGGAGAAGGAGAGAGAGAAACATCAATGACGAGAGAGAATCATTGATTGGCTGCCTCCTGCATGCCCCCTACTGGGGATCAAGCCCGAAACCCAGGCATGTGCCCTTGGTTGGAACCAAACCTGGACTCTTCAGGGGTAAGCAACCCAAATGTCCATCACTGGATGAACAGATAAAATCTGGTTGTGCATACAACAAAATGACACATGCCACAACATGGATGAACCTTGAAAACATCATGCTAAGTGGTTTAAGCCAGCCACAAACAAAACAAACAAGTTGGGTATTGTTCCACTCATACGAGGTGCTTAGAGCAGTCTAATTTAGAGAGAGAAAGCAGGATGGTGGTTGCCGGGGCTGGGGAAGGGAGAAGGGAAGTTACGGTCAATGTGCACAGGCACCAAGGCTGCTTCCAGCCCCGTCTTATTTTACTCCCGCTCCAGGCAAAACCAGCTCTCCTTTTGGTCTTAATTGTCCAACTTTCACCAAGGTCAGAGAGGGTTTCCCTGTAAAGGGAATCAGGGGAGGCTGCCAAGTGCCTTTTCTCCCTCATTCTGATTTAGTCAGTTCAGCTGGAGAATGAGCGGCCTCCCCTTCCTCCCGCTGTGAATCAGAGGGTAAGGACTAACCCACCTTCATCTTCCTTCCATACCCAGGACGGAGCTTGGGAGCACAGGACATGCTCTAGGCCAGCACTGTCCTTCCTACAGAAATGTTCACTGTACTGTCCCACGTGGCAGCCATTAGGCCCGTGGCTACGGAGCGCCTGAGATTCAGCCTCCCCTCTCAGGCAGTGCTGCTCCGGGTCACACTGTCTCCAGTCCGTCTCAGTTATCTTTCAGTGTTTTTTAAAAGACAGAATTATCTGTCCCCATAATTTCTTTCTTTCTTTCTTTTTTTTTTTTTAAATCTTTGCTGTTGAAGTCCTTCCCCCCCCCCCCCCCCCATTCCCCCAATATCTTCACTCCAAGCACATAAAACACTCGTGCAAGCTCTGAGCACGTGGGCCCCTAAAATCTCAGATTCGCTTTTCCCGGGTTTCTCCTCGGCCTAAAGGGAGGGGCGCGTCCTACCGCTTTCACGATGTAGGCGGCCACGGCGTGCAAGTGGCGGGGGGAGGCCCCGCTGCCGATCACCAAGTGGCCTGTGTACTTCACCTCGGGCGGCACCCGGATCACACAGATGTCTCTCGCGTTTTCTTGCCTCAGAAGCGAAACCAGCAGGTCGATGTCGAACTTGGAAGCTGCGTGACCTGAAAGGCACAAAGTTTTGCCCGTGTCAGGCGGCCCCGGGGGAGTCAGTCAAATACGGGGTCCCCGGGTCTCCCAGGCCGCGGGCGGGGTTTGCGGGGAGGGCGCTCGGGCCCCAGCAGCCGCCACCCCCCGGGGCTGCGGCGGCTGCAAACGGGGCCCCAGGCGGCCACGGCCACGGCCACGGCCCCTCCCCGGAGCAGGGCCAGAGGAGGGGCGATAACGCGGGCACGGACGGGCAGCCTGGGGCCCAGCCCGCTGAGCGCCGGCAGGAAGGGAAATCCGGAGCTGGCGGGGCTGCCCCCGGCCGCAGCCGTCACCCGCTGCCCGGGGAGCCGGCTTTGGATGTGGCGCCTCCGCCGCCGCTCCAGCCCAGGCCTGGCAGCCTGCGGAGGAGCCACACGCAAGGGGCCCACGAGCCGCATGTGAGTCGCGAGCCGCGGTTTGCCGACCGCGGCTCTAGACACTCGGGCCTCAATCAGCCACGGGGAGGGCTGGACGCTTTCAAACAGCCCTGTCCGACCCTCCGCTCTTCTCAGAGCCGCTGGCCCTGGCTGGCGGCGCGGCTCGGGGCTTCGCGGGGGCAGCGAGCCCGCCCCGTATAACGGGCCGCCGGGCCGCCCCATCGCACCGCACCGCCCGGCCCCGCACCCCCGGCCCCACCGCACCGCCCGCCCGGCCCCGCCCCCGGCCCCGGCCCCGCACCCCCGGCCCCTCCCCACCCCCGGCCCCTCCGGCGGGCGGGCCGGGCCTCCGGGCGGAGAGGGCGCGGGCGGCCCCGAGGGAAGGAGGCAGACCACTTCCGACCCCGCGTCCGCGCGCGGATCCGGGCCCTTTTCAAACGCCCGGGGCGCGGGGCGGAGGGTGGGAACCGGACGATGCCGCCAAAAGCGGGCCGTGTGGTCGCCTCACTCCCAGGCTCCTCAGCCCGCAGCCGGGACCGGGGCCCGCCGCCCGCCCGCCCCGCGCCCGCACCTGCGGCGTCCGGTTCCCGGGGCTCCGCGCCCGCCGCCGCCGGCCGCCCCCCCAGGCCGGGCCCGCCGTGCAGGCCGCGCGCGCCGGCGGGGCTCGGGCGGAGGCGGCCGGGCGCGGGCCCCGCAGGAGGCCGCCGCGGGGCCAGCAGCCGCAGCCGCGCCCCGGCGCCCGCCCCCGGCGCCGCGGCCGGGGACACGGCCCCGAGGCCCCGCAGCGCCCAGGCCCGCCGCGCCGCGCACCCCGCCGGCCCCATCGCTGTCGCCGCGCGCCGACGCACGGGGCGGGGCTTAAGGAAGTTTCCGCGGCCTCCGATTGGCCCTGTCAGTGCGGCGCGGCCTGGAAATTTGACGTCATGGAGTGGGCGGGGCCGGAGCCCGGGACGGGGCGGTGGGCGGGGCCGGAATCCCTAGGGAAACAGCGGAGGCTGGGCTGAGCTGATCTGGGGCTCAGGTTTTGCCCACACTGCTGTGCCATGAAGGCAGGAATTTTATTATTTATTTATTTATTTATTTATTTATTTATTTATTTATCTATTTATCTATCTATTTATTTATTTAAGTTTCGTTCTTTTAAAATATATATAATTGATTTTTTTACAGAGAGGAAGGGAGAGGGATAGAGAGTTAGAAACATCGATGAGAGAGAATCATCAATCAGCTGCCTCTTGCACCACCCCTGCTGGGGATGTACCTGCAACCAAGGTACATGCCCTTGACCGGAATAGAACCCGGGACCTTTCAGTCCACAGGCTGATGCTCTATCCACTGAGCCAAACCGGTCTCGGCAGGAATTTTATTTATTTATTTAAATTTCATTCTTTTTAAAAAATATATATTTTATTGATTTTTTACAGAGAGGAAGGGAGAGGGATAGGGAGTTTGAAACATCGATGAGAGAGAGTCATCCATCAGCTGCCTCCTGCACACCCCCTACTGGGGATGTGCCCGCAACCAAGGTACATGCCCCTTACCGGAATTGAACCCTGGACCCTTCTGTCCGCAGGCTGATGCTCTATCCACTGAGCCAAACCGGTTTGGGCTTATTTTGTTTTTAACTGTTCTCTCCACAGAGCCTAACACAGCTGGTCGTGAAGGAACAGACGTTGCTGCTGTCAATCAGCCTGGAGTTAGGACACGTCATGTCCCAGAAATGACCAAGATTCCCTTGCAAACTGGAAACCCCATGGGAAAGTGTGTATCCTGGACGGCTGGGGTGGAGGCAGAGGTGTACAGGACCATTTGGAAAACGTTTTGAGTTAGGTCAGCCATCTAGGTGTGTCACTCTCCATGTGGACTTTTTATGCCCATGGATCGCACTGTGGGGTCCACCTCTGTGAGCGTAGGAACGCCCAGGTGCAGTCACAGTGTTAGATCGGGGGATCTGAGAGGCGAGAGATCCCTTCCTGTGGCCACACTGGAACCAGATGCTGTGTCTGAACTCCAGGCCTGGTGACTTCTGGGAGGAAGAGGCCGGTAGAAAGGCCTGGAACAGGGCCACGCACATAGTAGGGTCTCCAAATGCTTGATACATTAGAGAACGGCCTCTAAACTGTTAAACAATTGAAAATTCAATGAGGGCAACTAATGTTTATGAGTGAGTCAGAGTGTTTAAAATGCAGACATTTATGCCGAAACCGGTTTGGCTCAATGGATAGAGCATTGGCTTGGGGACTGAAGGGTCCCGGGTTCGATTCCCATCAAGGGCATGTACCTTGATTGCGGGCATATCCCCAGTGGGGGGTGTGCAAGAGGCAGCTGATCGATGACTCTCTCCCATCAATGTTTCTAACTCTCTATCTCTCTCCCTTCCTCTCTGTACAAAATCAATAAAATATATATTTTTTAAAAATGCAGACATTTATAAAAAAAAAAAAGTCCTAAGAATAAGAAATTCCTAGAATAACTTATTACCTACACATTTCAGTTTTCATGGGAAGTTCTAATTCTCAGCAAACATTTATCGTCACTCCCCCATTTCATAGATAGCCATTCAGCAGAAGTTAAAGGAGTAGTTGCCAAGGTCACATAGAGAATATAAATCTAAATAAATCATGAGCTCTCTCTCTCGCTCTTTGTAAGATTGAAATGTTGTGGGGCTCGATGAGGATTTCATCCCGCCTCCGACTTGCTTCCTGGGTGAGGGACTGCATATTTGCTGCCCTCTGCTGCCCTCTGCTGGTAGAAGGAAAGTTTGGATCTCAAGACCACAGTTCTCAAAATTAGGTGCTCGGAGCAGCATTCTCAGCATCACCGGGACCGATGAGAAATCCAAATTATGAGTCCACCCCTGAACACGGAATTAGAAACTCTGGGGTTGGGGCTCAGGAGTCTGTTTTAACCTCCAAGTGATTCTGCTGAACTTAGTAATACTACTGATGTCCTGGCTCCTAATCGTCATAAAAACGACAAAGCATCTTCCCACTGCTCTGCCCTCGGGCCCCACATAGTGGTACACACCACAGTGCCACACACAGAGGCCTTCCATGCCCATTCTCTCTCTCAGGGGGTCTGGCGCAGCCCTGTGGAATAAGCAAAGGAGGGACCACATACCCATTTTACAGATGAGGAGACCGAGGCTCAAGAAAGGTCCAATAACTTGCCCAGGTTACTCACCTTTAAGTGGCAGGGCTGGACTTGAATCCAGGTCTTCTGTCTTTACCTGCAGGTCAAAGGTTTCTTCAATTAACCCAATACAGGGTTTCTAACGTCTTGGCCAGATCACATGGGGTGCTTTGTTGTGAGGTGCTATCCTTTAGGATGTTTAGCAGTGTTCCTAGCCTCTACCAGCTAGATGTCAGCAGCACCTCACCCTGGCAGTGACAACCAAAAATTGCCTCCTAATATTAGCAATGACGCTCAAGGGGCAGAGTAACCCATGGCTGAGAGCAGAGACCTGCAGCCAACACATAGAGGGGAGAAATATCACAATTCATGTTCTGCACTTTCTTTATACCTCGGAGATGGTTTCAGAACTAATAGCTTCATTCTGGGCATCTAGGCAATCTATGAAGTGAATGCACTAAATGATGCTCTCCACCAGCTCCTTGTAGGATTCTTCACCATTCCTTAAGAAAAGTAACAATAATCCCAAAGATCGTCTGGCACCCAGTATGTATGCACTTGAATTCCCCTTAGTTGTCCCAAGAATATATTTCACAGCCTTTTGATTATCCACACAGCTCCGATTCAGACTCCTAAGCTGCTTTCAGTTGCTGTGTCTCTCTAGTCTCTTCTGGTCTAGAACAAATGGTGGCCAAGGGGCATATCTGACTTCCCGCCTGCTTTTTTTTTTTAATTAAATATATTTTTTATTGATTTCAGAGAGAAAGAAAGAGGGAGAGAGAGATGGAAACATCAATGATGAGAATCATTGATTGGCTGCCTCCTGCAAGCCCCCCACTAGGGATCAAACGCACAACCCAGGCATGTGCCCTTGACTGGAATAGAACCTGGGACTTTTCATTTTGCAGGCTGACACTCTATCCACTGAGCCAAACCAGCAAGGCGTTTGTAAGAGCTTGTTTGTCATTTATGTATATGGTAGCAGAGTTGAGTAGCTGCGACAGAAGCTGGATGACGCACAAAACCTACAATATTTACTATCTGGCCCTTTACAGAAGAAGTTTGCTGATCCAGGATTCAGAACTAGCCTCTCGCCTTCATTTTTAAAATACTGCTGACTGTTTCAGGCTCCAGAACAATTGTTTTTGGAAAACCTCTTCTTTTAGATTGGCCTGATTATACACACTTAATAAGTTTATTGACATTTCAAACACTGTGAAATTTTAAATATGTATTTAAAAGTATAAAATGCTTATGAAAATTAAACTTTCTATGTGTCAAAACTATAAAGGCGAACAACAAATTAAAAAATAATTCCAATTCCAGGATCTTGTCTCTTTTCATACTTTATTTTGCAGGGAAGAGAGGCAAAAAATTGTCATGTCTGACATATGGTAAATAGTTTTAGTTACAAATGGAAGTTAAACCCTTACTGATCAAATTTCTGTAACTTTTTTTTTTTTAACCCTTACCCGAGGATATGTTAACATTGATTTTTAGAGAGAGAGGAAGGTAAAGAGAGAGAGAGAAAAAAAAACACTGATATGAGAGAGAAACATTGATCGGATGCCTCCTGTACTCGTCCCAACTGGGGATCGAACCCGAAACGTGGGTAGGTACCTTGACCAGGAGTCATACCTGTCACCTTTTGGCATGTGGAACGATGCTCCCACTACTGAGCCACCTGGTAATTTAAATAAAGTAGTAGAACAACTAGGGGTCTCCTTTGGAAAATCACAATATGCAATTTCAAGTAAATGTGCTGGAGTGCACAGAAACTCACACACACACACACAAGCCCGTCAGCACCGAGGGCCGGCCCGTCTGAGCAGCAACACGCCTGACACACAGGAAGCGCGACGTGTCTGTGGGATACGCGAATGGTTGCCATTTCTTTACACAGCGGGGCAGGGCAGGCTGGCACAAAAACACGCACACCCACCGATCAGATTTATTGTTATTTTAGTATAAAAAGCACCTGCATCACAGCAGGGGCGTGGCCTGTTGTCCTGTTGGGAGCTCGTGCATGCTCCTTGCAATAGGCTCCGGTACCTGGGAGCATGGTCTGGGGGATAGGAGGACAGTGCATTGACTGTACGCACGTGTGTACATGGGAAGCTAGAAAGTGTCCAGCCTCACCTTCCAGGTGACCTGGTCCCTCTGATGAAGAGTACCTTCTCCCCCTACTTTTTGGACACGGTATGTCTATCCTGCTAATCCTGTGAAGACAGTATAAGTGAAACATAAATCATAATGAAAGAAAGCACAGCCGACCGACTCTATCTATAACGTGGCCGAGGCTGCGTGCCATATAATTCCTCTCCACTTCTCTAAAATGCCACTTAATCTATAAAAAAAACAGTGCCCCTCCCTAAACCCCAGTACATATTTGACAGCAGTGTCTTAGGGAAAAAGTTGACAGTCCTCTACGCTAGCACAGCTCGCAGGGAAGAGCACAGGCACTGAAGAGCGAGCTGCTGGTGAGGCATCAGGCTGAGGCTTTAAGGAATCCCGGCTGGCTCTTGAGCAGGGGGTCTTTCTCCCGGCTGCCCGGGAAGAACTTGACCTTGGCATGCTCCAGGAAGACATTCAGGCCTCTGCCTGGGACCCCAGCACTGTTGTCTATCGGTTTGTATTCCTTATGTTTTCTGAAAAGCAACGTGTTAGGAAGATTTTTAAAACATCCCCAGCTGGGAGATACTCCTTTCCCCAAGCTTTTACCCGCCCGAGTACAAAAAACGTTCACCCCATTTCACTTAATCTGTGGCTTAAAAAAAAAAAAAAAAAAAAAAAAAAAAAATATATATATATATATATATATATATATATATATTTTTTTTTTTAATTGACTTTTTACAGAAAAGTCAGAAGGGAGAGAGAGTTAGGGACATCAATGAGAGAGAAACATCAATCGGCTGCCTCCTGCACACCCCCTACTGGGGATGTGGCCACAACCAAGATACATGCCCTTGACCAGAATCGAACCTGGGACCCTTCAGTCCATAGGACGATGCTCTATCCACTGAGCCACACCGGTCAGGGCTAATCTATGGCTTTTAAGAGACGGGTGTCTTAAGGAAATATATTTATTTTCTCTTCTTCATCCGAGACATGTGCCTGTTTACTATAAGGTGAGCTTGCATGTTAAATATTGAGCTGACACAATTTTGTTAAGTTCCTGACATCTGGTAGCGTTGTTTGAATTAAAAAAAAAACAAAAACAAAAAACCACAACAACACAGAAAACCACAGCAAAATCAACAGGCTGGTTTGGTATCCATCGTTCAATGGGGAGATCCCACGCACAGAATGGTTAAAAGCCAACGAGGGCAAATGGCCCATGTGGGCAGCACATGGCTACTTGTTTTCAACACCGTCCCGTGGGGATTTAAAGTATTAGAACCGGCCGAAACCGGTTTGGCTCAATGGATAGAGCATCGGCCTGGGGACTGGAAGGTCCTGGGTTCGATTCCGGTCAAGGGCATGTACCTTGGTTGCAGGCATATCCCCAGTGGGGGGTGTGCAAGAGGCAGCTGATCGATGACTCTCTCTCATCGATGATTCTAACTCTCTATCTCTCTCCCTTCCTCTCTGTACAAAATCAATAAAATATATTTTAAAAAAATAAATAAAAAAAATAAAGTGTTAGAACCGGCCACTTACTTGTGCACCAGGAGGGCGATGGCGGCGACGAAGGCGGCCAAGCAGCCGGCGGCGGCCAGGGCACCGCCTGCCATCCTCGCCGGGGAGCCGGGGCCTAGCACGGAGGACACCGGTGAGTGACCACATGCAGGACCGAGCGCTCAGGAGGGACCGGCTCCTGCTAGCTGTCGGGATCCTTTCCCTGATATGGCCCCTGCCCTTCGGTCAGCTTGTCCCCCGTTTGGAGAATGAGCTGGCCCGTCCGGAAGGCGGTGCTCAGGGCGCAGGGGAGGGTGTCCCCTCGGCAGACCCTGCTCTGGTCTCAGGCGGCCCAGCAGCGCCCGCAGGACAGAGGGCTCCGCGCTCCTCCTGCCCATGGCCTGGCCTCCTCGCCCCCGCTGTGCTGACCGCCGGGCGCTGCCCACCCTCCCACACTCTCACACCTCCTCGCCCTCCGCTGGGACTGCCCTTCCCCAGCTTATCTCAGGGCCCACCCCTGTGGGGCGCCTTCCAGACACTCATGGGGCGGCGGTCACCCCTTCCGTGGCCACTGCTCGCCCCTCCCTTCCTCTGCCTCAGCCACGTTGTGCTGCAATTGCTTCCTGGCACCCAGGTCTCTCCTGTTAAGTGGTGAGAACCACGAAGCAAGGGTTTTATGTCTTCCCTTTACTCCAGGAACCCAGCAGATCCGGTCTCTGCCGCCAAAGCATCACCGGGGCTGATCTTTCTTTCCTCCTCCTCCTCCTCTGCCACCACCATCGCAGTCCCAGCCCCAGCCCTCTCCCCGGAGGAGATCTCTGACTCCCCTGGCCCCGCCGCACTCACAGCCAGCAGGACCTCCTGAGAGCATGCAGCAGGACCCCCTGAGAGCATGCAGCAGGACCTCCTGAGAGCATGCAGCAGGACCCCCTGAGAGCATGCAGCAGGACCCCCTGAGAGCATGCAGCAGGACCCCCTGAGAGCATGCAGCAGGACCCCCTGAGAGCATGCAGCAGGACCCCCTGAGAGCATGCAGCAGGACCTCCTGAGAGCATGCAGCAGGACCCCCTGAGAGCATGCAGCAGGACCCCCTGAGAGCATGCAGCAGGACCACCTGAGAGCATGCAGCAGGACCTCCTGAGAGCATGCAGCAGGACCATGCTTCCACCCGCCAGTGGCTCCCCTCCACACAGAACAAACCCTAACCCTGCGAGGACCACAGCGGGCTGCCCCCACAACCAACACGCAACACTCACGCCTGCCCCGGACGGAGACGAGGGTGCTGGCAAGGGCCAGGCTCGCATTGTCGCCCAGAGTGAGGTTCACGCAGAAGGTCCCAGGGCCGCTGAGGGCCCGCCGCACGGTCAGCAAGCACGCGGCGCCCCCGGCCGTCCCCACGGGGCTGCAGACTGTGTTCTGGGCGAGCTGGCAGGAGGGGTCAGACACCACCGTGCAGACCTCGGTGGGCATGCTGAGGGCGTGCACAGCGCCGGGAGGGAGAGAGAGAGAGGGGGGGGGATGAAGTAGCTTTAAAGGAAAAATCATTTCTACAAAATTGAAATCCACCTTATTTCCCCTCAAATACCTGACGCTGCACCGTCACATAATTCATCCTTCAGCAAGCCTGGGAATGAGCCACTGTTTCCTGCCTACTGTCTGGAAGGTGAGGCCCGGGATGGGACAGGAAGAAGCTATGTGCCACCAAGCTATGTGCCATGCCCTCCACCTTCTACCCTCCAGGATGCAGACGGCGGCAGGTCTTAGGCAAATGCATCCTAGAAGCCAGAGCCGGCCTGCCCAGTTCCTGCAGAGGACAACACAGCAGCGGCAGCGGCAGCTGCGTATGAGGTTCACTGTGTGTGAGGCCTGCATTTTGGATCTGGGACATGGTCTGCCCATTCCCCTCAATGACTTTAGGAGGAAAGTGACATTATCCCAGTGTAGCAAGGGACAGAAGACATTGGCCCAAGATCACACAGCAGTCAGAGGCGGAGCTGGGACTTGAACCAGAGATGTTTGATAGCTGTCCTTGTGACCACTGGGCTGCCCGGCCAGGCAGGATTGTTTAGCCGCGGTTTCACGCCAGAGGGAGAAACAGGCTCTGATGCTGGGTCCCATGGGGGTGTGTGTGTGTGGGGGTGTGTGTGGGGGTGGGCGGTGGAGGCATGCCCTGGCCTCTGCCACAGTCTCACTCTTCAGTCGGCGTTTTCTCTAGCTCCTGTCAGTCCTCTGTCCCCACGCTGTCCCATACTCTTGTTCATTTATACATTTACATACACATACACTTAAAAAATATATAATTTCTTCTATTGATTTCAGAGAGGAAGGGGGAAGGAGAGAGAGATAGAAACACCAATGATGAGAGAGAATCACTGATAGGCTGCCTCCTCCACACCCCCCACTGGGGATCAAGCCTGCAACCCAGGCATGTGCTCTTGGCCGGAACCGAACCTGGGACCCTTCAGTCCGCAGGCTGATGCTCTATCCACTGAGCCACGTCGACTAGGGCCATACACATACATTTTAATCACTGGATTTACGTGTATGTGAATCAGTTAATTCATGAACAATTAATTGATGGAGTACATATATCCACTGATATCTACTTAGTCTATTATATTTAGTTTTAATCAAACCGTAGGAAGCCACATTATAAAGTGCACTAAGGAGCTTCGTGAATTATAAAGAGAGGCAGGATTGTCAGGCATTGCTATTAATTAATACTGGGAAGCTGGGACCCAGCTATTCCTCATCAGCCTTTTGCCACTCTGGAGGAGCCTCGGGGAGCGTAGAGTGGGGCTCTGCCCTGGCCAGTGTGGCTCAGTTAGTTGAGCATGGTCCTGTGCACTAAAAGGTCACAGGTTTGATTCCAGGTCGGGGCACAAGCTTGGGTTGCAGGCTTGACCTCCAGTATGGGGCATGCAGGAGGCAGCCTATCCATGATTCTCTCTTACATCACTGTTTTTCTTCCCTTCTGCTCCCCTCCCTCTCTAAAATCAACAAAAACATTGGGGGGGGGGGGAGATAGAGTGGGTTTCTGAGCCAAACCTTGGCCTGTGGACCGTGCTGACAGGGACCCCCTGTCTGGTGGGGTAGGTTCTGTAATCGCCATGGCCCTATCTGTAAAATGAGGGGACTCAGGGTTGTGTGAAAACAGAGGGACCAGGGTACGAACACAGTAACTGTCCGATCGATAATGATCATTCAGCTTCACCAGCAGTTAAAGGTGTGAGCACTGCTCTCCGTCAGCAAACAAATGCATCCTTGAGAAGCCTTGAGGGGTCCTGCCTCGTCCTGGCTTCCTACGAACCCGGACTAGGAGCCACTTGGTTGGGGAGATGGGTCAGGCCTCTGCTCAGGCCGGCGTCCCCACTTGGCCCGCCCTCTGGGGAGGTGATGTACTCACGTCCCCTCGCAGGTCACCAGGAAGTCCACCAGGGGGTCCTCGGGCGGCGGCAGGGGCGGCAGGACTTCTGTCACGTCCACGATGCTCGCCTCTAGGACGCCCTCTGACAGAACGACCCCCCCGGGGAAAACACATCAACATACAAGGGAAAGCAACCCAAACCAAACCACATTCCAGGAGGCCCAGCAAAACGGAGAGAGCTTCTCGCCACACACACCACACACACCCGGACCCGGGACCCCACCCATCGCCTCGAATACGTGCCCGGCAGCATTTTCAAAGTCAAACTGAATGGTCCTCAGCCCACCCTCGCTCTTCATGTCTGACCCCGTGTCTGTGTTCGAAGGCAGTGCCCGCTCTGGGCAGGGGCTCCAGGAACAGGTGCCCCTGGGGGATGCAGCCCCAGGTGCAGGCCGTGGCCAGCTTCTCTCCTAGGGGCTCAGCCCCAGGGCACACAGCGTGGGTTTTACCCCCTCTCCCCCCCTCCCCCAGGCCCAGGGTGCCCGGCCTGGCTCTGACCCACTGCCTTCTCTGTTGGGTGCTTGTGGGCTGTGCCTGGAGTACACACATGCGTGTGGTGGCCCTGTTCACTCACGCTTCTTACATACAAGAAGTGTGGCTTTGAGAAATCAGCGAGGGGAGAAGGCGGGAGTTGTGGGAACTGCTCATTCATTCAGGTTCCCGGGGGGAAGAGGCCGGAGAGCCAGGGCCCGGCAGGCTCCTCAGGATGTGGGCCTCACGGAAGCTCATGTCCCCTGGGACGTGGCGGGAGGCTGGGGGAGGCAGGTGGCAATCTAGACACCAGCAGAGTCTTTGCCTAGGTAGGCGCGGCATCACCCTGGACAGGAGTGGGTGGCCCTGCTCCCCGCCCGCACCCACCAGAGTCAGCGAAGTGAGTGGGTGGCCTGAGGTGCCATCCCTCCCCTCCGGTCTTACCGACGATTGTGAGGATGGCTCTGAAGTGGCCGTATCTGTCCACCTGGCAGTCTTGGTCCGGAGCCGCCCTCAGCTCCGGCAGGCCGTCCCCCGCGGGGGCTGCGGAGTTTGAATAACAGAGTTTAGGTTCGTTGCTGAGGATATAAAAGATGTGCGTGATAGAACCCAAAATCTAACCACCTGTCTGCCTGCTCTTTATTTTTATTTATTTATTATTTTTAAAAAATTTCTTTATTAAGGTATCATGTATTTGTCCTCAACCCCCCCTTTCCAACCCCCACTCCTCCCTTTAGAAAAACATCAAGAACTTTTAAATTGCTATCGAAATGCGAACTACACGTATATCGATGCATAGAGATGTGAGAGCTGTAAGGCATTATAATCGTCAAGTTATGTAAGTAAACACCATCGCATATTTTGCTTAAACATCGGCAGCAAATGAAAGGTAGAAGCCATTTTAAATATGTGATACAACAGTCATGATAAAATATGGTACACTACCGTCGGCACCGGTTTGGCTCAATGGATAGAGCGTCGGCTTGGGGACTGAAGGGTCCCGGGTTCGATTCCGGTCAAGGGCATGTACCTTGGTTGCGGGCATATCACCAGTAGGGGGTGTGCAAGAGGCAGCTGGTCAATGATTCTCTCTCATCGACGTTTCTAACTCTCTCTCTCCCTTCCTCTCTCTGAAAAATCAATAAAATATATTTTTAAAAAATATGGTATACTACAGCATATATAAGATATTTAATTTTAAATAGTAAGGAAGATGCATCATAGATTAAGAAACAAGCAACATGGAAGGAGGCAATTTGCTAAACTTACACTGAGAGCCCTCAGTCATTGGTGAGCAGAGATGTGGGGAAGAGAAGGAGAAGGCACAAGACGCTTTTGAAAAATAACCCTTTGAGTAGGATTAAAACAACAAATGTAATGCTCTGTACACCTGAAACTAATATAATGTGATACATCAATTTTACCTCAGTAAAAAGATAATTAGTTATAACTTCAAAAGCTCTAATTAAGGTGTTGGTATTCCTTTAACAAGATAAAAAGACTGGGAAGAAAGTCTGATAGTGAAAATGTAGCATTACTTTCTCTAAAATTTAAGAAGGCGTGAAATGGACCCCGTTTTGCGGGAAGGGCACCGAAGCTCCATTCAGAGGGGCCCCTGTTTACCACTGAGACATGTAGGCCCAGAGCCTGTGGGAGAGCTCGCCGGGCCTCCGCGGGGCCGAGCATGAAGCTCCTTCGCTCTGAGGGGCCTTCTCAGGGCATCTCTGGAAGCAAGTGTTCCATGGCATACACTTTGGGAAACGCCGCTTGGGGAAAGCCTGGATGGAAACGCCACTTGGGGAAAGCCATGCTCGATGCCATGTTGGGTTCAAATGCAGCGGGTTATCAGCAGGACTGCCTGTGGCAGACTCTTGGGGATGTCCCCTGAGTCTCGCAGTGGTCCTTCGGGAGTTACAGGATAATCACTCAGTTAGTCCTGAGACTTAACCGCTGTGTTCTGTAGCAATAGATGTGTGTGTGCAGGGTATTAAAGATGGCTGGCTGTTTCCGGGAAACAGAGAGCTTCTTCCAGAGTTCTTGACAGGCAGCATGTAGCTGTCAAGTTAGAGCAGTGATTGGCAAACCCATTGGTCAACAGAGCGGCAAACCACAGCTCATGTGGCTTGCGAGCTGTAGTTTGCCAACCGCTGAGTTAGAGCATGGAATCATGACTCTGCTATATTTCAAAATAAAACTTTAAAAAATGACCAAGTAGCCAAAACCGGTTTGGCTCAGCAGTAGAGCATCGGTCTGCGGACTAAAAGGTCCCAGGTTCGCTTCCGGTCAAGGGCATGTACCTTGGTTGCGGGCACATCCCCAGTGGGGGGTGTGCAGGAGGCGGCTGATCAATGATTCTTTCTCATCGATGTTTCTAGCTCTCTATCCCTCTTCCTTCCTCTCTGTGGAAAACCAATAAAATATATTTTTAAAAAAATGACCAAGTAATAAAAGTTGCTTTTATCATTGGTAGAATGCTTATAAAAATGCACGTGTTGCTTTGCAGACATATCTAAAGTCAAGTTTATATCTCTGTGTCTATATTTATAAAGTCAAGGTATGATTAAAGGGCTAAGAGAGATAAACGAACACTTTAACAGACAGATGGGCCCTGGCTGGGTAGCTCAGTTGGTTAGAGCATCATGCCGGTTTGTCAAGGTTGTGGGCTCCATCCTTGGTCAGGGCACATGCAATATTCAACCAATGAATGCATAAATAAGTGGAACAACAAATGGATGTTTCTTCACCTCTCTCTCTCCCCCTTCTCCTCGCTTTTCTCTAATAGAAATTAATAAAATATATTTTAAAGAATAAAATTAGTAATAAATTATAGTGTCTTGATTTACATATGTTTGGTTTAATAATATCTCATTTTATTGGTAACACTATTATGATAGTTTATTACTTATAACAAACAGGTTTTTGGTAAAAAAAACAATGACAAGTTTAGACATCATGATGGCATGGTTCCTCTGGGCTTGGTGATGGCGCCCTCTTGTGTCCAATGAGAGGATGCCAGCCTATTACAACGCCCTGGATCCTGGGGTGCTAAGATGTATAATGGCTGTGTGGGGAAGGAAAGCTAAGGCTTCCCAAAGAAGATGCTTAAGAACTTCTTGAATGTCCTCATATGCTATTAGTAGAGGGTGGGATTTAATCCATTAAGCTTTATATCCAGAATAATTTTAATGTCTGCAGTCTTTCCAGCTGGCTGACCAAGAAATATCCTCAAGGTACATTCCTTTTGGGCCATTTAGAAAGTGCTTTTAGGTGTGGCTGTGTCTTCATGGGACAGTGAGTGGATGTGGGCAGTGAGGGAGGAGGATGGAAGCGGAGAGAAAAGTGGGCGGGAGGAAGGGAAGCGGGTGGCCTGTGTGTTTTTGGTACAAGGCGTGTCTTCTCATAGCGACAAATGTGAGCTCGAAGGGGGAAGCACCTGCTCACGTGACAGAGGCCAGTGAACACCAGGAAGGTCAAAGGGCGGTTTATAAGTCACCAACGTTTACCTGCAAAGTCTTTACACATATTCTAATAGCTTAAAATAGGGATAAAATGGCTTTAAGAACCAACAGATGTTTGCAGTCTGGACACAACCCTTTGACCTGGGGCTGTGACACTCTAACTTACATGCCATTTCCCTTTAGCAGTTGAGGACCCTGCCCCCAAAGAGCCCTGGAGAACACTTACACAGAGAAGGGGTGGGTTTTGGAGGCCTGGGGGTTGGTGACGGGCAAGGTCCAGGCACTGCCGCCTGCACAGTGAGGTTCACGCTGAAAGTCCCGTTGAACACGTACGTGTGGTTCAAAGTGCGATGGTTGGAAATGTACAGACCAGTATTATCCCCGAAGTTCCACCGGTAGCTAATGACAGACCCGCTCAGGAAGTGGCTGGGGTCATGGATCAGGACATTGAACAGAATGGGAATGTCCCTGAGGAAGGTTTCGTCAGAGGTGTTTCGATCATTCTTCTGGGACATATTCACAAACACAAGAATCTGATCTGAAAGACACAGATGTATAGAAAGAATGCATGATTGCTTGGTTTTAAGTGGATGAATTCAATAACACTTTGTCAAACATTTAAATTAAGGATAATTCAACATCATTTTTCTTTTTCCTGGGTAAGTTTTTCTAGAGTTTCCCCATGCTAATCTGGAAAACAAAGGGAGTATATCCTTGAATATATCGATAAGTTTGAGGAGGAGCCCTAACTGGTGTGGCTCAGTGCATAGAGCATCGGCCTGCGGACTGAAGGGTCCCAGGTTCGATTCCTGTCAAGGGCATGTATCTTGGTTACAGGCACATCCCCAGTGGGGGGGTGTGCAGGAGGCAGCTGGTTGGTGTTTCTCTCTCATCGATGTTTTTAGCTCTCTATCCCTCTCTCTTCCTTTCTGTGAAAAATCAATAAAATATATTTAAAAAAAATAAGTTTGAAGAGGAGTCCAGATGAACGGTGACCCAAACCGAAACACTCAGCTCTCACTCCTTAACTCACGAACATCGTCGGAACGAAGGGCCCCTGCTCAGTTACTGAGCTTTCACACGCTCACCTGTCACCAGGTACACATCTTTCGCTTCTGCGACGGGAGCATATGTCCTTCCATCTCTTCCGTCTCTTCTGTAGACAGCTACTTCCATGACTTGCGGGCCAAGTGTCACGTTGGTTGTGTTGATAGAAATACTGGCTGAGGACCGTCCCAATTTCTGGTAATACTGACCTGTGAGAGGCGGGAATGGTTAGGTGTTGGTTACTGTTACAGGACCATGAGAGGAAGTTGTTTCTTAACAACGAGCCACGGTCATTTTGAGATTGCTCGCTCTGGGGAGGGAATGCCAGGAAGGGTTGTGACATGAAACTTTATAAAGCAAACCTACAGTTAAATAGACGTAACTGCATGGGTAAAACGAACAGAGCTGTTTGGTGGGATAATGCAATCGCTAGTTCATAAATAAACACTTATTATAAATAAGTGATTTGGCACTTGAAATAGATGTGACTTGGCACTTGAAATAGATGTATTTCCCATAGAAAATACATTTAAAAATATATATTTCTTTATTGATTTCAGAGAGGAAGGGAGAAGAAGAGAGAAATAGAAACATCAATGATGAGAGAGAATCATTGATAGGCTGCCTCCTGCACACCTCCTACTGGGGATCAAGCTCACAACCTAGGCATGTGTGCCCTTGGCCCGAATCGAACCTGGGACCCTCCAATCCGCAGGCTGATGCTCTATCCACTGAGCTAAGCCGACCAGGGCGAAAACACATTTAATGTAATGATGAAGTGACCAACGGCATTTTAAAAAATTTATCCAAGAATCAACCTTATTTTTGATAATATCACTATTCTGGCTATATAATTAAGAAGCTTTTTTTTTTTTTTTTTTTTTTTTTTTAGGGGACTAGAATCCTCCACTCTCTAACAGTGTTTGCGTACAAAGAGGCAGTAAGTGATGGATGGTGTGGTGGGTATAAAAGGAATGGATGGCGTGGTTCTCTGAAAGCATTCTAGGACCCCCGTGAGCCATTCTTTCTCTTTTTGGACCCAAACTACAATCTGGCTGCCACTGTCAGCAGCGGAAGTGACTCTTCTCCTTCAGGGCCCAAGGACGTTTCTCATCCTTTTGGGTCACGTGGCAGAGAAGTGACAGGCATTGTAAGATGGATGCTTGTAAGATGTTGGAAGACCATGTTTATCGCCTGTTCAAAGGTGCTAGGAAAATACACCAGACTGCTCAGGGACGTGTCATTTGGACATTCAGAGACAGTTCTGATGGAGTCTCTGAGGGGTTCGTTGTATGCTAGGAAAATGTTAGTTCTGGCACCGAGAGAGGCGCAGGGGCATGCTTAGTGGGGAAATATCAGTTCACTCTAAGATCTCAGCAGAGGATGGGATTTCAAAGCAGTCTTGTTAGAAAAACAAAAATTCCTGGCTAAAAACTGATTGCAAACATCTTAACTAGTTAAGGTAATGGATGTTAACTAGGCTAAACAGACTCCTAGTGTCAGTAAGCGTAAGTGACTCTGTGAAAACTCCATGTCAGGTCAAAGAAATCATGACACGGGTGAGGGGCCAGACCAAGGGCCAGACATGCACTGAAAAAGTCAGCTGTAAATCAACTGATTTAAACAGATGGCGTAATATTTGACATGTATTTTGTTCTTTGTTCAATCAGAGTGCATTATTAATATTTTGTTTTGATTTGCAAGTAGTTCATTGGAGAAAGAGAAGCTTTCTCTAATTTACAAAATGAAAGACAAAGCATTTAGGAATTTGGAGGCTGTACGCTTGGGAGCAATTTTCAAACCTGCAGAGCCAAGTGGCACCTAGTGACAATCTTAACTAAGGACTTAGCAGCTTTGCTAGAAATCACTGAAACCTGCTCTTCCCAAATGTAGTCACTTCGCCAGCAATAGACAAAGTGGGTACCATTTTGTAAAAAAAGGAAACGAGGTTGGCTATGCCCAAGAAGAGCAATGGTTAGATTATGTTATTTCTACACAATGGAATGTTATATATAGTCACTTAAAAAATGTATATAAAGAATTTTAATGATATAATCAAATACTTGTGACATCAAGAAAAAAAATCTGTATACTTTATAATCCAAATCAAGAAATACTAGTAAAGAAAACACCATTGTGTTAACAGTGATAACCTCTGGTGTTAATTATGGGTGACTGACTTTTCATTTGTACATTTCTGCATCTTCCCAATTTCCTAAAAAGAACAGGTTTCTTTCATTCTTAAAAACTCATTTGACAATATAAGAAGTTAAAGAATAAATCAACAATGACCATCTGTGTGCCATCCCAACAAATAAATAAGGAGTTTTGTTTTAACAAAGAAAGCTGACTCGGGGATGTATCCCCCTCCCCTCCTTTTAATTCTTTGGTGTCCTGGGAATTTGGCAAGACTAAGCAATATACGTCCCAGCTAAGGAACGTTAACAGATGAACTATGATTAAACTCTCCGTGTTATTGGTTCTTGGTTATAGAATAAGAAAGGAGAAAGAAATGTAAATGTTAAGCAAAGATAAAGGCGAAGCTAAAGGGTTTGTAAAAGTCCGACCGAGCGTGTGGAACACGTAGACGAAGCCGCACTTGGTCCCCCCATGGTGGTGGCGGTGGCGGCGGTGGTGGTGTGGGAACGGCCTGCCGTCGGGGAACACGCCGTAGCTTTGGCTGCTGCCATTGCCCCAGTCGGCGTCCTCGGCCCACTCAGTCCAGTTGTAAACGTATGGGTCAGCAGAGGGGCCTGCTCCTGAGCAGAGAAGGAAAAACCATGATTGTCGTCTGGATCAGACTGCTCCATGCTCACCATTGAATCAGACACTTTTCATATATTTTTCTTTCCAAAGCTGGTTTCAATATAGTTGAACAACAACAGCCCTAATATTTAGAATTCACCCAACGGTGCCTGTATGACCTGTGCATTTTCCTGTTCAATTCCAGTACGTTTTATGTAGAACAAACACTCAGGAACGGCCCATCTAGCGCACGCAGGTCACACTCGCGGCCCGGGGGCCACATGCCTCGTTTGTCGGCCCGCGTTCGCCTGTGAGTTTGACCTGCTTGGTCTAGAGACCTCGCTTCACATGCTTCCTCTTCACCCCGAGTCTCCAAGTCACAACTGCATTCAAACCAAACTGAGGGCAGTTTTGTCTTCTTATTTGGATGCACTCTCTCTGTAGCCTTTCTCCCCGACTCCGTGGACACCCTGACTGCGCACTCCTAGAGACTTCAGCACACATTTCCTTAGAACGAGGGTGTCCTCTGACACAGGCACAATGCCATTGCCACCCACCACAGCAATCAGGCGCACACGCTGCATTTGGCTATTTTGTTTCAGAAAGAAAGGAAGAAAGGAAAGAAGGAAGGAAGAGAGGGAGGGAGGGAGGGAGGAGAAAAATGAGGAAGGGAAAGAGAAAGAGAGAAAGAGGGAGGGAGAGAGACAGAGAGAGAGACAGAGAGAATTTTAAATACAACACTTTTAAACTATCAAACTGGTTCTATATAGAATCTAGTGTTTTCCTCATAGGAATATGATAAATCAATAAACTGTTGACAGTTTAATTGAAGTTCTAAATAATAAAATTAGATCACTAGGTGCATTTAATAGCCTTGTCCCTGATCAAAGAATCTTAGTAATTAGCTCGGCATTTTTAAGAATGTACAGTTCCAACAAGATCGTTTCCCTTAATGTATTTGTGTGTATTTTCACTCTTTAACAAAGAACTTACCCTCTTTAACTAAGACCAAAACAAATCCAAAATACAGATACCTTGTCATTTGTGCTAGCCACACAGCACTTGCTTAAGAAATACCTGTGAGCAGAATTACTCTAAGCAGCAAACATCTGTCAAATTGGCTATTCCTCGAGTAGTCAAAAGAATCCGTCATCAAACCAAAACTTGAGAATCAACAAGGTATTCTCTGTCCAATCACCTGGACACTAAGAACAAACTGAGCTTGCCAAGGCAGCTCTGAAGGAGGGCTGTACGTAGCAGAGAGCCATCTGTTTGCCGAAGGGTCGTTGGCTAATGTTGGTGAAGGGACTGAGTGGAATCACACTCTCACCCTCCCCTTCACCAGCTTGAGAGGTGACATGGGACGACAGCAGCATCTTGCATTCATGGGAGAAGCACCCGCGAGGATCAAGGTTTCTGAGATGGGTCTCCGGAAGCTCGGAGAACTAGCGTGTTCCTGGGATGTGAGTAACATTCCTTACCGTCTGTGCAGTTCTTCTCATAGACGATGCTGCCATCGGTGTCTTCCTTTTGGCATCGGGGGAACACCAGGTTCACCACAAACGTTATATTTGAGCCCACCAGGGCTGGGGAGTCACTGGTCAGAACCGCCTTCACCTGGCCTCCTAGGGCAAAGAAAAACGGAGCTCCATGATCAGGCATCCCTTTCCTGTCACTGTTGAAAGACATCAAGTCAAATCTAATTCCGAGGACCAGCCAGAGGATCCTTACGTCTCTTTACAATAAATTAATTTATTTTCCGGATTCCTAATTTTGTTTACAGAATACAACATTCTAGAAGATAAATAATAAATAGTAAGAAGCTGTTATTTATTAGACCAGTTAAAGAATTCTCTAAACACAGAAAGAACATTCACTTAAAATAAGTTTTAAAATCTGCTTAATTGGATGGAAAAACCAAGTATTAAAAGTTTTTTTTGTGTGTTTTTTTTTTTTTAACTCAAAACCAATGACTGAAGAAGTCATTCATTCATGTGGATAGAAAGGTACTCACTTCCTGACAAGCCACAGTGTTGAGATGGTCAAAACTACTCTGGAGCCTCAGATCTCCTGGACAGGACCATTCACACATTCGTTAAATGGGTTTGAGATCAAACCCTGCTCACTCTCCAAAGTCTTTCAAAAACCATAAACTTAGAACTTCTAAGGAGATCAAACTATGTAGGTGTGTGACTTAGAAAGCGATATGTTAAGATAAAGGCGAGAATGCCAAATCCAGATGCCGAGAGCACTGTCATTCACAGAAGAAACACAAGCCACGTGATTTCCACGTCTATAACCTGAGACTAACTTAAATAGGAAATGACAGTTGTGTGGGTTGGGTCATTCCACCTACCTCTCCAGGATTTTTTCCACCTCGGGTCTCCTCTTTTCCACACCGGATAGAGTCTTTCATTCCAATCATTTTCATCTGAAGACCAACCATTTAATTGGTTGTGCTCCCTCATATGAGCAGAAGTTCTTTCATTGCCCAGCACATCATGAAATCCTGTATCAATATTTGAAAAACCAATGATTTAGTCAACTCTATTCCTCGTTTAGTACTTATCTAACAATGGTTCAAGTCACTTTTTATTTCATAAGGTTAGAAAGAACATATGTAATATTTTCAATATGTCAAACAAGTAAAGTTTTTTAAAAATCAGGCGAGGGCTTCAGGCTCCAGGCTAGACAAGAATTCTTAGACGTAACACCAACAATCTGTCCCATGGAAGGAAAAAAATGATAAATGAGACCTCATTAAAATAAAATAAAAATTCTGCTCAGTGAAATACCATGAGAAGAGGATAAAATGGCAAATGAAACACCGGGAGAAAATGTTAGCAAACTGCATTTCCAAGAAAGAGCTAATATCTAGAATATATGAAGAATTTTCAATGCTCAATGTTAAAACTCAAACAATCCAATCAAAAGACCTGAACAGACATTTCACAAAACAGGTTGTGCAGACAGAGACACAGATGAAAAGATGTTCAGTATCACCAACCAGTAGAGACATGTACATTACAAGCCCAATGAGATTCCACTGTACACACTTCAGAATTACCAAAATAAAAAACAGGGACACATCTGATGTAGGTGATGAGGGGAAGAAACCGGATCACTAAGACACGGCTGGTGGGACTGTAGAATGGTCCAGTCACAATTCGAAAAACAGTTTGCAGTTTCTCGTAAAACTAAGCTTGTAATTACCATGTAACTAAGCAATTGAACCGTTGGGCATCCACCCCAGAGAAAAGGAAACTTATGTTCACATAAAAACCTGGGCACGAATGTTCCTAACAGCTTTATCCAAAACAGCCCACACTGAGACAACCCAATATCCCTCCCTGGGCGAAGGGTTAAGGTGTGGTCCATCCAGGCCGTGGAATACTACTCAGTAGTTAAAAACAAACAAAAAAATGACTGATACATGCAACATCGTCAGTAAAGTACATTGAGTTAAAAAAAAAAAAAAAAAAAAAAGGGCAGCCAGCCGAAACCAGTTTGCTCAGTGGATAGAGCGTCAGCCTGCGGACTGAAGGGTCCCAGGTTTGATTCCGGTCAAGGGACCTTGGTTGCGGGCATATCCCCAGTGGGGGGTGTGCAAGAGGCAGCTGAATCAATGTTTCTCTCTCATCGATGTTTCTAATTCTTTGTCCCTCTCCTTTCCTCTCTGTAAAAAATAAGATATATTTTTTTAAAAAGAAAGAAAATGAATTGGTGGTTGCCAGGGGCTGGGGCTGGGTCTTTGGCTGTTAAAGGGATGAGGGACCCTGTGGTGATGGAACGGTCTGTATTTTGACTGTATCATCGTCAATATCCTGGTTGTGATATTATACTCTAGTTTTATAAGATGTTACCAGTGGGAGAAACCTGGGAAAGAGTACAGGGGGATCTCTTTGTAGTAGTTTTTAAAATACATTTTTATTGATTTCAGAGAGGGAGGGAGAGGGAGAGAAAGATAGAAACATCAATGATGAGAATCATCGATTGGCTGCCTCCTGCACGCCCCCTACTGGGGATCAAGCCTGCAACCTGGACATATCCCCTGAGTGGGAATCGAACCGGTGACCTCTTGGATCCTGGGTCGATGCTCAACCACTGAGCCACCCCCAGCTGGGCTGTAGTATTTCTTACAACTGTATATGAATCTACATGTTAAAAGTTGAATGAAAAGCAGAGGGAAAAACAACGCCCAATAGTAAGCAACCTGGAAGGGGAAACAGAGGGGTGTGCTGGCAGGCGATGGTGGGAAATGATGGGGGGAGATACACAGGAAGGTCAATGGAGTCACTCCCAGCTCAGCCTTGGCTTTCCTGTGGGCACTTGGGCCTCCCTGCTCGCCCATCACCACCTGCGGCTGAGGCTGATCCTCAACGAGCTTGTCATCACCTTCCTCTCCCTCCTTCCTCCCAGGGCTGTGATTGGACAGCGGTGAGGGCCCCTTAGTCTGTGAGACAATGAATCCTACCCGTCCCGTCTGCTGTGGCCAGCAGCTCTGGGTGAGGGCCAGGAGGAGCCGGGACATCAGTGTTTTGTTACGTGGCCTAATGGGCTGAGAGATCCAACCCCGTTGGTCTGTTCACGGAGCAAAGCCAAGGGTGTGGGTGGGAAGGAGGCTAGGACTGGGCGCAGGCCCCCGCTGACCTGTCAGGTCTCGGTCCCTCCAGCTCCCTCGCCTCGGCCTCCCGGGAGCCACCCAGGAGGCTGGCTGAGAAAGATGATCGCTACCTTGTAGGCCTCCCACTCCAAGCACCTGCCGTTGGCTGATCTCGCAAGAACCCCTTCCCCAGTTTGGCAAAGGAGGAAATGAAAGCTGCATGGAGCCGAGTCACCGTGCCCGCCCGCGGCTGCCAGCCGCGGGCAGGATGGTGGCGTGACAGCGGTCTGCTTCCCCTTACCGGCTGCGTGGCCCAGGGCCAGTGACGGGATCATCGCAATGCCAGCCTCCCAGGAGAGGTGGGATGGCAAAGGAAACCCTGGGAGAAAATGGTAGCACACTGCATTTCCCAGAAAGAGGCAATCTCTAGAATATATGAAGAATTTTCTTTTCTTTTTATTTTTTTATTTATATATATTTTATTGATTTTGTACAGAGAGGAAGGGAGAGAGATAGAGAGTTAGAAACATTGGTGACAGAGAGCCATCGACCAGCTGCCTCTTCTTGCACACCCCCTACTGGGGCTCTGCATGCAACTAAGGTACATGCCCTTGACCGGAATCGAACCCGGGACCCTTCAGTCCCCGAGCCGACGCTCTATCCATTGAGCCAAACCGGTCTCGGCAATATATGAAGAATTTTCAATACTCAGTGTTAAAACTCAAACAATCAAAAGGCCTGAACAGACATCTCACAAAACAGGTTGTGCAGACAGAGAGACACACATGAGACACAGCTCAGTCGGCTGACACAGGCCCGCACTCTCCCACCCTGGACCTACCCAGTCCCTGGTCAAAGGAGACGGCGGGGCAGGGTCTCCCCGGCCAAAAGCAGAACTGGACACGCCTCTGGCCGCTTCCCTCCACTTCCCCCAAATGTCGCTCCCTGCCCCCACCTGGGGCTCCTGCACCCCCAGCGGCCCCTTCTCACGCCCCGCCCTGCCCGGGCCTCCCGCCCCAGGACACGCGCTCTGGCCTCCAGGGCTGCCAGCAGTTCCTGCCTTCCCCTCTGGTTCCCACTCTGCGAGGACATGTCCCTGCAGACACTGCTCTCCCACAGGAGGCAGCGGGAAGGATGTGCCCAGGGCCCTCCGCCAAGGGTCCGAGATGCTGCTCCCTCAGGCTGAGCAGGGGAGTGGCAGGCCGGGCTGTGTCCCCGCCTGTTGACGGCGAGGACCGGCTGCTCCAGACGGTGCTGGAGGGGCCGTGGGGCTGAGCTGAGGACAGAGGGGAGCAGCCAGCGCACAGGCTGCCGGTGGGGATGGTGGGGACGCAGAGGCGGTCCCTGCTCAGTGCCTCCCTCCCCTGGGCCCAGGAAGTCAGGGGCAGAACGGGGACCCCTGGCTTTTCAGCCCATGAGTGCCTTTTGGAGGCAGGTGGGTGGCCCTCGGGGTGACACACATGTTACTCCTGCTTCATGCCGACTGCTGGAGCGCGGGGCCCATCGCCACCCCCTGGGACTGGACGGGGGCTGCATCTGCCCTCAGTGGCTCAGACTCCGGCTTTGCATTCCACTCACGGGAGGAGCTTTTTATGTTGCTGTTTCTTAAACCCTCACCCGAGGGTATTTTCCCACTGATTTTTAGAGAGAGTGAGAGAGAGAGGGAAAGATGGAGAGAAACATCGACGCCCATTGGTTGTCTCCTGCAGTCTCTAACCTGGGCTTGCAACCGAGGTATGTGCCCTTGACTGCAATCGAACCCGGGATCCTTGGGTCCACAGGCCGACAATATCCACTGAGCCACGCCAGCTAGGGCGGAGCTTTTTAAACAAGAATGCTCGGACCCACGTCCAAAGATTCTTGTTTCAGAGACCTGGGCCCCGGCATTGTTAACAAGCTGCTAACCAGCGGTGCGAACCTTCAGCTCTCCTGGCAGTGACCTCACCATGGCGGGTGGCTTCTGGGCTGGATTGTTAGAGAGCTCGTCTCCAGATTCGGGGCCCTCTGCCCTACCCCCTCCCGGCCGACACCAAAGTTCCGTGGAGAGCGTGGCTCTGTGCTCAGGCCAGACACTTCCCTCGCACCCACCCTCCCCTGTCTGGGGGAAAAATAACAGAAAGCTCCAGAGACAGGCTGCACGGCTATTAGTTTCTATGAGCCTGGAGCTAAGAATGGAGCTGGAGGCATTTGCTGCGGTTCCCACATTCCCAGCGGTTCCAGAGAAACGGCTGAGCAGGGAGCCCAGCGCTGGCTCAGACGGCATTGCCCCAGACAGCCCGGCCCGCAGCCCCCGCCAGAGATCGGTAAACACAGACACGGGGAATGGCTCACGTTTGGCGGCGTCCAGGGGCCCCCCTGCGGCCAGCAGCAGACACCCCAGGAAGCAGTAGGCACGCTCCATGCTGCCCGTGTGCTCTCCGGCCCCAGCGATCACGGCTCAGCTCCCAGCAACCCCGGCTCCATCTGGAGCAGCCGCCTCTTCTGGCCTCTCCCGTGCCCGCTCCTCCTTTTAATTAAATACGGGCCTCGGGGCGGATCATGTGATGGGATTAAGCAGCATTGCCCGACGTGGCCTCTTGGGTCCAACCTCTTACAATTCATGTGCTTCTGACTCACTGGCTCCCAGCGTGTTTGTGCACTTTCCAGAGGCCCTCTTTCAGGGCTGCGGTGCCCCCGTTCCAAAGAAACTCCTGGCGACTCCCTCCCCTTGGGACCCAGCCTCAAGGCCCTTTGCCAAGTAAAATCCCCAGCTCCAGCCTCACTGATGATCCACTCGCTGCTGTCCCTTCACGGACTCACTCACCCAGCTCAGGCTGAAACGTCACCATTAGGCTTCCTTTGCTCTAAGGGAGAGGACCAGCTCCTCCCAGCGCCGGCTAGTGCCTCAAAGATTGTGTGTGTGTGTGTGTGTGTGTGTGTGTGTGTGTGATTGTGTGTGTATGTATCTTTGATCACTTGAATTACGTACATGGATAACACATGTTATGCAGAAGGTGCTTGAAACAGCTGCTCAGACCTCCAGTGGCTGAGGAACTTAAAACCACACGTTATGGGGGTCCCGGGTTCGATTCCGGTCAAGGGCATGTACCTCAGTGGCGGGCACATCCCCGGTGGGGGGTGTGCAGGAGGCAGCTGGTTGATATTTCTCATCGACGTTTCTGGCTCTCTATCTCTCTCCCTTCCTCTCTGTAAAAAATCAATAAAATATATTTTTTTAAAAAAAGGTTCCTTTCTTTAAAACAAAACAAAAGCAAACTAACAAAAACAACCCCCACACGTTATGATCTCTGTGCAATTCCATCTAAATCTGGAAACAGCCTGCGTACTTTTCCGTGGCTGCTTTCACGGTATTTTGCGGGAGGCTCAGGGTCGGTTGCAGAGAACGTACAGCATGTGTACGTCGCGTTACAGAGCGCGGGCACTAAGTGTCAGGACAAGCTGGGCTGGAGCCCGGATTGTGTGCGATCCAGGTAGTGCTGGTGCAGCCTGTGCGGGAGATGCGGTGACGGGAACACTCCCTGCGTGTGATCTCAGGTCCCAGCCGCAGAGCCTGCTCAGCAGACAGCCGCCCGGGGGTGGGGGTGGGAGGTGGGGATTGATTTGTGTCCCCGCTGCGTGAACAACAAGGAATGGAAACCCACAGGGCGGGCCTGGCCAGCTCCCTCCCCGAGGGCCACACGCGGGGCTGGAGTGCCCCTCGGGCAGCCTGAGCGGCAATCTAGGAAAAGGCCAGAGGGAACACACGGTTCCTGGCAGAAGCCAGTGTCTTCACAGACAAATAAACAACGCACGTGTGTCCGGTGTGGGAATAACCTGTATCGTTCTGTCCGCTTTTTACTACAAACGCGTGACGTTCGGAATTGAATAAACAGCTCCAGTTTAGGACGAACGTACTGTGGATCTATTTTTTAAAGCATGATTGCCCCTGGTTACGGATAATTCGTTCTGGCTTGGGTGTTTGGCCAGACGAACTCTCTCTAAATTGGAAGCAACAAAACCTTCATTAATTGGGAGACAGAGCCCGCTGGCTGGCTCCGTGGTGAAGCGTCGCCCTAGGAACCAGGAGTTTAATTCCCGGTCAGGGCCCAGGCCCGGGTTGCGGCTCGGTCCCCAGTGTGGGGCGTGCAGGAAGCAGCCAATCCATGATTCTCCCTCGTCATGGATGTTGCTCCCTCTCTCTTCCTCTCCCTTCCTCTCTGAAATCAATTGAAACAGTATATCAAATAAATAGGAAGACAGTCACCGGGATCAAATCTTCTTTTGGGTCTCCTCTCCTCCCCTGCCCCGTCCAGGGGCGATGAACTGGGCAGCGGGCAGGAAGGCAGGCAGGTGAGTGAGGTGAGGACCCCAGCTCCTCCTCCAAAGCACCATCAGCTGGGTCACGGGTGCCTTGAGCTGACACCATGTGAAGTCGTTTATGTCACAGGACCAGGCGCACGGCTGTTTTGGACAAGAAATATCCCCAGGTTTTGTGTTTTTTATTTTTATTTTTAGATAAACTGATACTGTAAGTTAAGTTTGAAATTGTCCATTGAAGGAAGAGACCCATCTCAATTACTTGGCGTCATCGACATGATTACTCAGTTTGGAAACGATGCTGAGAAAATCGTCAGCTTTTGAGAATGAACTAAATTACCGTTAAGCCTCCTGGGCCCTGACACCCCTCGTGGTGACCAACGTCCCTGCTGGAGGAGCAACACCTGGAAAAGGAGGCGGGGCGGAGGGAGAGGAGTCCACACCTTTAATTTCAGGAATTGCTCAGTGCAAACTGGCGTTTTTAAGCAATAAAATAAAAAGTAAGGTTCTTTTCTCCCCCACTTTTGTAAGCAGCTGTGGTATTTGTCCCCGATTGCTACTGCAACAAGTGGCAGAGAGACTCCAAGGGCTAAAACAACGCAGATCCATTGCCTTGTGTTCTGGAAGTCAGACCCACCGTGGGCCTCGCTGGGCTGAAGTCAACGTGTGAGAGGGAAGCTGGGGGGAGGGCTGTTTCTTTGCCTTTCCCAGCGGCTTCCCTGGGAGTCCTGGCTCGCCGCCCCTGTCCACCTCAACGCCAGCCTGGCCACCGGCCCTTCCTCACACCCCCCCAGACAAGGACCCTCCCTCCTGCCCTCTCCCAGAAGGACCCTGTGGGTACCCGGGGCTCCCCTGGGTAATCCAGACTCATTTCCTTGTCTTAAGTCAGGTGAGCAGCAACCTTCATTCCGCCTGCACCCTTAACACCCCTTTGCCGCCTTCCATCTCCGCAGGTTCCGGGGATCAGGGGGGGGCAGCTTTGGGGCCCTGGTTCTGCCTGTGAAAGTGATAGAGCAGGTGACTTAGCCACAGAGGCTGTTTGTGGGGAAGAGCATGTGATGGGAACAGCGATGGGAAGCACCTCTCCGAGGTGTCGGGACCTGTTGAGACAAAGCCCTTGATAACCTGGCAGCGCAGAAAGGCAAGAACAAACGGGAGATACAGGAGGCGGTTCAAAGCCAGAGGAGGCTCATGTGATTGCCCTGGCCGCCCGGGGGCCTTTGAACGTGTGATAATCAGCGCCCCGGTTCTCAGATTTGAGCATTAACGAGTGACTCACGGGCTTCTCTTTCATCTCGAGCTCCCGCCTCTGTCTGGGTGCTCTCTTCGAGAATAAGTAATAAAACGGCCTCGTGTTCGGGGTTACTAGGGTTCGAAATGACACGTCCACCAAGCTATGTCCCCCAGCTTCTCAGGGGAAGAGGAGGAAATGGATTACGAAGGTCAGAGCATCCTTTCCCGCAATCACAGAGCGCCTGTGGCTGCTACACTGTTAGCCTGATGATTAGATTGAGCTCAGGGGAGGCACGGGGAGAGAGCCTTCCAGGTGGGATGGAATAATTGGGTAGAAGAAGGAACATTAAAAAAAAAAAAGTGCTGGTACAGGCTAACCTGGGGGTGAACCTCAAAAACATGAAGCTAAGTGGAAGAAGCCAGCCATAAAGGCCACACGTCATATGGCTCCGTTTATATGACATGGCCAGGGCAGGCAAATCCATGGAGAACAGGTTGGTGACTGCAGGGGCAGCGGGGCGGAGAGAATGGGCGCATGCTTGGTGGGTGAGGGGGTTATGTTGGTGTGATGGTGACATTTGGGGAGTAGGTAACGGTGGAGGCCCCACAGCAGGGGAAAGTGCTAAATGCCATTGAGTTGCTCACTTCAAAATGGTTAATGTGATGTTATGAGAATTTCATCTGGATTTAAAAAAACTAACCATAATACCCAAGCCCAGTGGTGAGCAAGCTCATTAGTCAACAGAGCCAAATATCAACGGTACAATGATTAAAATTTCTTTGGAGAGCCAAATTTTTTAAACTTCTTCTAACGCCGCTTCTTCAAAGACTCGCCCAGGCTGTAGTATTTTTAAAAAAATATATTTTATTAATTTCTTACAGAGAGGAAGAGAAAGGGATAGAGAGAAACATCGATGAGAGAGAAACATCGATCAGCTGCCTCTTGCTCAACCCCTGCTGGGGATGTGCTCGCAACCAAGGTACATGCCCTTGACCGGTTAGGGCCAGGCCATGGTATATTGTGGAAGAGCCACAGTCAAGGAGCTAAAAAGCCGCATGTGGCTTGCGATCCACTGTCTGCTGACTACAGTCCTAGCCGGTTTGGCTCAGTGGATAGAATGTCGGCCTGTGGACTGAAGGGTCCAGGGTTCAATTCCAGCTGGGGGCACATGCCCAGGTTGCAGGCTCCATTGCCAGTAGGGGGCGTGCAGGATGCAGCTTATCAATGATTCTCTCTCATCATTGATATTTCTATCTCTTTCTCCCTCTTCCTTCCTCTCTGAAATCAATAAGAACATATTTAAAAAAAACAACATAATGATTAACTGTGCAATACCCTCCGTCCGGTATGCGGGGCATGGAGCTAGAGAGGGAGGATGCAAAGAAGAACAGGGTACTGGGCGTGGTGGGGCTCACAGCCCTCAGGGAGGCAGCGGCCAGAGGTGTGATGGGGTGTCACCTTCCCCTGATTGCTGGGTCTCCCCACTCCCCTGAGGGATCCCGGACTGTGAGAGGGGGCAGGCCAGGCTGAGGGACCCCCCTCCAGTGCATGAATTTTCATGCACCGGGCCTCTAGTCACTAATAAAAATATATTTCAAAAAGCAGTCAGTGGCATATTAGGTTATTGAGAAATAAAACCATGGGGGAAAAACATTCTTGAAAAAAGATTTTTAAGGCCAAAAGATCTGTATAGTGTTTAATCATTAATACCAAGAGCATACGTTAAGTGGTGCTGGTGATTCGGCTTCATCAGACACAGCCAGCACCGAGGGAGAGGATTCAGTGGCAGATTCTGGAACCGGACAGCAAGGGATCAAATCCCAGTGTCAGTACTGCTTACGGGCTGTGTGCCCTTGGACAAGTTACCTCAC